CAAGCTCAAACCCACTCTCTCCGTCTCCATCATCAATTCACAGACGACAACCTAAGACCGACCTCTTAGATATCGCTTTCTCCGGCTGATCTGTGTCACTCCGCCCGAGCCACTTCTCTTCATCTCCGACCCCGTCGCAAACTTATCGGCGCCGTCTTCGGTTGCCCGCCGGGCCGTTACAATGCCTGCGCGTGGCCCTCCGTCTCCGAGCTCGCAACCCGCAAAGCGACAGCGACAGAACTCGAATGACGATGGATCGCCGCGCAACGGCCAGCCGAGCCCCCAGGATCGTGAGCGCGAACGTCTCCAAGCCGATGGCGCTTCAGCATCTTCCACTACCGCCTCTCCGTCAGTAGCGGCCAAGGCAGGCCAGAGCAGTAACTTTCGCAACGTCAGCGCCTGTAACCGTTGTCGCCTACGTAAAAATCGTTGTGATCAGAAGCTACCGAGCTGCGCAAGTTGCGCTAAGGCAGGAGTCGCTTGTGTTGGCTATGATCCCATCACAAAGAAGGAAATCCCACGCAGGTACGATAAGGCATTGCAAGCGCGCGATTGTCCAGATGCGTAATCTTGTGGTCATCACAGACCTCGACAACGCGCCACAAAACCATCGAGGACGATTAATGATCAAATGTTGACCTCGCGCGCAGTTATGTTTACTATCTCGAAACCCGAGTCGAGCAGCTCGAGAACCTGCTTAGCGCCAATAACATCGCCTTCCCCCCAGCCGAAAACCTCGAATTGTGTTCTCGAATAGGCACCGACACCGCCAGTATCAACTCCGCCACCGAAACAGGTTATTCCGGACCATCAGAAGCTGGCGACCGCAGGCCTCAGAGCCAGGCGGTGGAATCGCTTAAGAAAAAGTCGGGCCAATCAGGGTTTCTCAACATCGTGAGCCCCTCGAAACCTCGGTCTTTAGCATCCGCATCTGGTGTCTCATTCGCCCGGGTCGTATATGCTGCAGTTCAGTATTCATCCTCTGGTCAACCGAATCCGAATGATCCAAGGAATCCTCGGCAACCAAGCGGCAATGGAGCTTCTCTTCGCGATTCGTTTTTCGGCCTTCATACCAGGCCGTCTATCAAGCCTGCAAGCTTTCCTAGTAAAGAAGTCGGCTTGCGGCTCGTGAGGTTATACTTTGAACACTCGAACCCTCAGATCCCAATTCTGCACAGAGGAGAGTTTATGCAGACATTTGAACGCATATATGCCACTCAGGATCCGGCCCGAGGCTCGCGAGAGCTGTATTTGTTGAATATGGTTTTCGCCATCGGCTGTGGTGTCATTGTTGGCGAGCCAGTGAAATCTGACTCATCTGGCGATGCTGGTGCAGACAACAAAAATCGATGTGAGCCAGAAGAGTATCACGCGAGCGCAATCGTGCACCTAGAATCGTGTTTGAGTAACAGTGGAGGAGGGTTAGAAGTTCTGCAAGCCGTACTTCTTCTGGCCAATTTCGCTCTGCTTCGACCTGTCCCCCCTGGCCTCTGGTATGTGCTGATTGATCGTATGTGGTGTGTGAACTCACCTGACTGACACGGACCAGGTACATTATTGGTGTTGCTGTTCGACTTGCCGTTGATCTCGGCCTTCACTATGAGGATGACAGGGAAATTGATTCCTTACCTAACGAAAGTGAACAGACTGATGGTGCTGGTTCCCGAGAGAATGGGGCACAAACCCGGGGGAAGAAGCTGTGGGTGCGAGATATGAGGCGCCGTTTATGGTGGTGCACATACTCTCTCGATCGTCTGGTTAGCACATGCGTTGGAAGACCATTCGGCGTCAGCGATCAGGTCATCACAACTGAGTTTCCTTCGTTGTTGGACGACGACTATATTACGCCGACCGGGCTTATAGATCCACCATCAGATCAGCTCCAACCCAGCTACAAGCATGTTGCCCATCACTACTTCCGACTGCGGCTGCTGCAATCAGAAATTCTTCAGGTGTTGCAGTACAATCAAGCCCAGATCGCTAAGGCGGGTGTGCAGGGCAAGTTCCCAGATATGCACATTCATCTTCCATCGCCCTTCCTCGTACAGTTTGATTCGTTCCGTTCATGGCGCATAGATATCGATCGAAGGCTGTATCAGTGGAAGGCGTCAGCACCATCGAGACAAGAGACGGGTGTCATGTTTTCGACCGAGTTCCTCGAGCTCAATTACTGGCAGGCAATCATAATGCTCTATCGTCAGAGTCTAAGTGTTCCCGCCATGTTCGAGGGCGAGTATAATTCATCAAATGAGGTTAACAGCCCAACGGCGTTCCAAGCAGAGCTTCGTGAAGACGAGGACCGAATCTACCTGAAAGTTGCAGAGGCAGGCCAGAAGATCCTCCGCATATATAGACAACTCCATCTCAGTGGGTTGGTGAGCTACACCTATCTTTCCACCCATCACCTGTTCATGGCGGGAATCTCGTACCTTTATGCTATTTGGCACTCGCCCATCGTACGAAGTCGCCTGGTAAGCTTTGACCAAATCCAGAGTCCTCGGAGAAATGAGCTAATAGTGGATCTAGAGCATGGATGAAGTGGACTTTACTATCCTCGCTGCCAAATCGGTTCTCACAGATATGATCGACAAGTGCCCTCCCGCCGAGACGTGCCGAGATGCGTTCGATCGAACAGCTAAGGCCACCATTAAGATGGCCTCTTCAACAGGCGGTTTCGGTGCCCCGACGGCCCGAAGACAACGTTCTGCGTGGAATACCCCGCCGGACTCATCGAAAGGGACGGGGCAAGGACGTCACCGTCCGCAGGGCTCAGATCAGGCGTCTTATCAGATTGATTTGTCGCTTTCTGACTCGCTCTCCTCTCCTACATTGTCTGTTGCAGGCGACGGGAATGCACAGCCATCGCCCCCGATGGCGCGATCAGCAGAGGGATATTTGCTCAAATCGCGAAGTCGAGGTGGACCAAGCCCTACAGACTCTGGCCATAAGCAAGAGGGATCACCTATAGAATCGGGAATGGTTCCCTCACCTATTCCTCGACGAGTAACATCCCAGCCCAACGGCGGAGGATCCTATGGTGGACAACAACAGCAATTCAACGGACAGGACTACCCAGATGCTCAAACAATGGAGTTCCTCCAGAATTTGGGCGCGTCATCGAACGGAGACTTCACCGCCATGGACCAGTCGCAGCTCGATATGGGTCTAAGCATGAACTGGGAGGGCCTTCACCATGACTTTAGTGAGGCGCCGCAGATGAACCCCTTTGACACGTTCTTCTTTGGAGGTCCCCAGGGAGGAGGTGGTCAAGACGGCGGCATGAACATGTAAGAAAGTGTTTGTTGGATCTATTTCTGTCTTTATTGCCGGCGCGTTGGCTTGCTTTCTTGCTTACCTGCAGATGCAGGTCTGCTCAGTGAAAAGGGCGGCACTTTATGGCATTTGGTTATGTTTCAATACACCAGAAGGCGAGGGTGCATTTCTGTTTTGAGGCTACAAAAGTAGATGTTGATATTGGAAGATGTGGAGAAAATTCATGGATAAGTCGACGGTCTACTGTCTGTTTACCATCATGGTGAGTTATGAAGGTATGGAGCAACTGGATAGATATGAGATACCATGAAGCAAGCATACCGCTCATAGAAAAGGTGAAATGGGAGGTCATGAGTTGATGGTACCAATCTTTTGTCTATATACAGGTAGTTTTTGTAGAGACTATCCGGGTATCTATCGAAATGGAAAGCCTCGATTCGAAAGATTTGACGCTCAATCTGACCTCCTCTCTTCTCTTCTGCTCCTTTTGTGCATATTACTCATTCTTTCCAATGTACATCGTAGTAAATCCTTTCTCGTCCATTCAATACTCCAATCGATCTATGCATCCAACGTCCAAAATATGTCGTGAAGTCGTAATTAAAACAAACTGAAGAAATAAAATACGCAAATCGTCCTCCCCTACCGGTCTCGGCTATATCGTCTGCTCTCCCTTCTGGGTGAGTAATCTCTCGGGGAATAGTCCCTTCGATATCCTTCTCCCATCAACGGTTCTCGACGATATCGGTCTTGGCTCTGCCGTCGTGATCGTCTTGGGGGAGAAACACTGTGCTCCTCCTCAACAACAATCTCGTTATCCGAAGAAATAGTCGATTCTTGAACGAAGCGCGGCGCAGGCGGATCGACGATAATTCGCTCTCCACGACTATCGCTCACAAGCGGCGATGTTCGTCTTCGACTCCTGTCCCTCGAATTCACCGTCGTGCGCGATCTCGTCCTCTTGGATCTAGACGTAGCCCTACTCCTCGATCTATTCCTCGTCCTTCGGTCCCTTCTGCTTCGGAAACTTAGATATGTCGACGTATCTCCCGTGACGGTACTCATAGGCCCGCCTGAAACAACGGTCGATGCGCCGTCGACTGTTCTCACGACTGGGCCGCGGTGTAGAAGCATGTAGATGATGTACAGCAGGAGAAGAAAGCCAGCGACGGAGCCGAGGACGATACCGGCGACGACACCGGGGGCGAGCGAGTTGTCGGCGCTCTTGTAGGCTGTTGGCACGGCGGTGAAGGAGCTGCTCGAGTCGTCGTTCTGGCGGACGGAGAGGGGATTGTGCCCTGAGGGTGTTGTTGACGATGGTGGAAGGGCTGGCATTTTGGTTGATGGTGTGTGTTGGTATTAGGTTTATTATATGGTTAGAAATAGCATGGCAGTAGATCGTGAGAGCAAAAGGGTATAGCTCTTGGTATTGAGAGGTTTAGAGTTGTGAAGAATTAATGAGGTTGTTGTTGTTGTAGTTGGGACAACACGACGCAACCCGGCATTTCGTCCATTAAAGCTGCTGCACGTCCCCCCCAGCCACGTCCTTTTTTCTAATTGAGCGTCATGGGCCTGCACGCGTGTAATTGAAATTTTAGACGCGAGGCATCAGTTACATAAATCATCTGTAATGAGTATTTCGATCAGAATATAAAATATTTTTAGTTTTCATACTTACTCATTCCAATACCTCCGCTGCCTAGTATATCTTGATATTGGCATGTGGATGGTACGCAACAGTCTCATTGAAAAGTGGAGACCACTCAAGGCCTCATGTCAGCCCAGGAACAAAGACTGCTATCGTTTCAGCCAATTTGTGTCTACGTAACCAGTAGCTTTCTATCTTATATCCGTAAACATCTCTTCACTTGGTAGTTGTCCTTGGATGACGTATAGCAACAACAATTCCCTATTGCTCCATGTGAAGTCGCTGTCATCCACTACATCATCGTCTCTCTGGTGCTGAGGCAACATCTTTTAAAAAACAGCATTAGACTTATTCTTATGACTCTATCACTACTATCGGCCATATACAGCCTTGAATAGTCCTTTCCTTTGGTACGCCTATACATGGATATCATCCCAAGACGTGGTCGCATAACCGGAAATGCTCCTTCCAGCCCGACCGTTCTATATTTTACAAGTGTTGACCAGAAGAGAATTTTTGTCCCAATACAAAAGAGAATCAAAGTAACAGTGTTCCAAAACGCCCAGTATCATTTCGGGTAATCAAGGAATCCGCATCAATCGCTCCGTCAAAGTTCGTGACAGTAAAAACAAGGAAAGGGTATATAGGATGAATCAAGGCATTTAAGCCTTGACTTGTATTTTGGGTGGAAGAGGAGGTAGCGCACAGGTTGGTGGTGGAACTGGTGGAGGCACTTCACCCAGGTGAGGCATGCTCCTTCGGATGAAAAGACTCTTTCCGTTCATATCAGGCCTCAAAAGAGGGTTGCTCGCAGATGCGGGAATAGGGGGTAGAGGCACTGTGGGTGGAGGCGCAGGTAGAGGCAGCGACTCTGGCGACATTGGGGGTGGGAGGTCGCCTGAGGCACTATACTGTGATGCCCGGTCAGACATCACTGACTGAATACTCGCCCGTCTTTGTGACCGAGCCTTGGCTGACATGCTGTCACTTCGTGCATCGCTATGAGTATCCAGGGAAGCACGGCGACGGGCTGCCTCCTCGGCTCCCCCAAGAAAAGATCGCGAACGTGTTCTTTGTTCCAGGCTCGGCCGAGTTGAGTTGGGAATACTACGTCCCATGGCATTGGGATTTTCGGATTTGCGCCATTGTCTCATGTCTGATTGTCTGCGCGAGCTGCCTGGGCGGCTGATCTCAATGGTCGGTTCTTCTATTGGTACCAGGCTCGAATGTCGTGATGTCATCTCATATGAAGTGGGAATGTTTGGCAGAGACGGCAGATCATCTTCTACTGGAATGGTTGGCTGAGTTTCGTCTCCGTGCCGTGTCACTGGTCGTTCGTGGACGTCCTCCATTGGCGACGGTTGGTCAGCTACCATGGATAGAGGCCGCGCGATTGGTAACGTCGTTGGTGGTGCTCGACGACCCAAAGATCGCACCTCCAGTGGACCTGACGAAGGAGCCATGCCGAATTCCTGGGCCATAGTCTTCGCATACGAATATCTTCGGTTCGACGAATTGGGTACGCTGAAGTTAGGTGTTGGAGTCTTCAAATCAGCGGCACCAGATCCATAGCTAGATTGCGGTCGTAGGTTGATGGGTCCGCCTTGCAGTTCGACAAAGGGGGTGAGAACTTGCATAGACTGTCTTCGGTCCAGAATTGCTGCAGCGTTGGGCCTAGGTTTCGGCTCTGGTGAAAGCTTTGCCTCCTCTAGCGACGACTTATGCTCGACAGGTGCAGGGAAGGTATCAACGGTTGGTGAAGACGCTGGTGAGGATCCTGCAGACGTCACGACTGTCCGTTGACCGGATGATATGAATGAAAGGCGGTTCGAATTTTCTCGTAAACTCTCCAGTTGCCTGCCGTCATGCGATACAAAGCTATTTGTCGTAGAATTATCATCAAGGGGTTGATCGACTGCAGGCTCAGGCTCGGCAACATTTGTGGCTGAGCGGTTGATCTGTGTCTGACTTTGCCATTGTAGATTTTGGGGAGGCAGAAAGCTGTCGGGACTTTGAGGGCTCTGGGAGCTTGAGCTTGCTATGCGTGATAACCGATTGGGGTCTCGTACTACCAAAGTCCTTTGGCTAGGTTTCTCTCGTAGTGGTGCAACTTCGTCCTCGGCCTTTGGTTTGCCTGTCTCAGTAAGTGTCTTCTTCCCCCCCAGTGCCTCGATTTCACGGCGTAATGTTGAGATCCAGCCTTCCATATCCTCGGCAGTTTCAAATACCATGAGGAAGTTGGAGACATGGCGTCGTTCAGTAGCCCGGAAATTCCATCGCGAGAATAAAGAGCGAGAGTCTGACGCTGTTGTCCCATCAGACTCTGCAGCTGCAGAGACCTGGATTACCCAATGGCGTCCAGGGATCACATCGCTTGCAAATGCTGCAGAATCTTTGCTGAGGTGCAATATTCTTTCAGGCAACCGGTCGAAGGGTCCTTCTGCTGCATATTGCAGCAAATATCCAGATGTCACAAGAACATAAATCTTGTTGGTCCATTCAAACTTTGGGAAATGCCCGGAGGTATTGCGACGATGCTTCTTCTTAACCTTGGCCTTCTCGGTAGGGGCACCTTCAGCATCTGGTGCTTCGGCATTTTCGTCACGCAATGTGCTAGCTCGCCGCTCGTGCATGCGTAGAATGGCTTCAGGTGCTAGTGATGTAGCTGGTAATGTCATATGTTTGACAGCCTGTGGAAATGCTTTAAATAGAGGTGGAGGGTGCCATGTCGAAAGTGGCCCGCGTGCAGGCTTGCCAGACCCCTGGGTTCTAACAAGGCCAACAGGTCGTGGTTGAGCCGGTGGACTTTGCTGGCTTTCGAACATGGTAGCTAAAGGTCGCGGGCTGCGAGGGGACGAGGGCATATCGTCAAACACTGGATCGGGCTGGGCTGGAAAATAAGGGTTCGTTTCAGGGAGTGATGTACGGCTTCCAAAGGATGATGGCGTTTCAGGACTGGCCAAGTGCGTCTTTGATCGACTGAATAAACTTCGCAGTCCTAACCTCGATTCTCTTCTGCTAGCCTTTTCAGCTTTCAAGGGCACGCGATTCTCTTCAGCTGCCATTGTGTCAATATCCGGAGGACGAGTTCTTCGTGCTGGTGCATGATGACTCTGGAGCGCTTCTAGAGTACCACTATGGGTCATGAAAGAATCTCTAAAAGACATATTGGCGAAATACAAAAGGCGCGGTAAGTTTAATGACTTGGCAATGCGTTATAGTCAGCAAGCTCAACGGTAGGCGTAGGTGTAGAAAGTGTCTGCTGGCGATATGCAGAACAGAGCGGCATAGGTAGGGTACCGTGCTGCTCAAATGCAGGCGGCAACTCGAACACCTTTGTATGACAGAACTTGGGGATGATCCTGGGACAAGGTCTCGTTTAAGAATTGCGCGGCATGTATTCGTGCGTTTAAAATGTGTAACCCAGACCGAGGCTGACCGGAGGTGGGATGTGAGGAAATGCGGGTTCCCGTCTTGGATGCCGTAGATCGCAGCTCAGTCAAAAAGTTCCGTCTGATATGGCGCAGATATCAACTCATACAGTAAGAGGCCCGGTATAACGTTAACAGCTTGTTGCCCAGAACGGAAAGTAGAAGTAGTTGCGGGACGTTGGTGGTGGCGAAAGTATAGTATAGGTATTGAGCAACAAAGAGTGACGATTGAAGAGAGCGATTCGGGTCAATGAGTGAGAGTGAAGCCGAAGCCTACGAGACAGACTGTATATGAAATAGTGAGCGACGAGGCAAAGAGAAACAGTTGAGCCAGAAAAGAGGCGCGTATACAAACAAAACCAGAAGAGAACAACAAAGACGTATTTTGGGTTGTCGAGAAGACGAAGAAGAAGAAGAAGAAGCAACAGCGGTTGTAGAAGGGGACCTGAGGGGATGGGAGTGGGAGTGGGAGGAACTTGTAAGCCAGCACAACCACAAGCAAAACGCAAGTGCCATGAAGTACCTACCCTCTCTGGCTTCTTGAACCTAAGGTAATGGTGTGGTACTGTATGGTCTGTACGTACTGGGGAAGGTCCTGGACTGCCTTATGGGGATCCAATGGTAAGCTAAGCCCACCTCAGGCACGAAGACAAGAAGCCATGCAAGGGAGGGGGAGCCCCGAGGCCAGAATTAAACAAGTTCCAGGATAAGAAAACGGAGGACACGATAAACTTTTCCTAATTGGGCGTCTTTGAAGGGAAACATTGAACTCTAGTGAGTTACTCGACATCATATCTCAAGCCTCATTCTATGCGATCACTGTAATGGCTGGCTCGCTCACTCGCTCAAGATGCCTCATAAAGCAAGCGCCCAAGTACACGTCGTATCGAATTGTTGAATAAGCACACACTCATATTACAGGAACACCAAAGGCACGAACGACGCAATTCGATGGGTCCAGAGATGCAGGTACATAGTAGTAGCAAGCCCACAACCGCCCAAACAGACGACAAGTCAGCGAACGACATGACCTTAGAACATGGGCATCGATAGTGGGACCGTTCTTGAGGAAGAACATAAACAGGGACGACAAAGGCCACTCAGCGAGGCGAGCAGAGGGCACAAGAGGAGCCAGGGGCAGGGGAGCCCCTGTCAACCTGCAAAACGGCCGTCAGGGATTATCCCGCTACTAAGTTGGTTTTTAACTTTGGCAGTCCAGGAATCACATTCACTCAAGACAGTCCAGATTCATGATCCTCGGCATTGTTTTTTTCTCCTTTACCGAATATCCAAACAGACAGTAAGAAAAGGTCCAAGACTCTGGTATACGAACAAAATAAACTTACAGTTTGTGAGACTCGTGTGCTCGGACCCAGTTCAACGGCTTACCCGTTGAACTATGGGCCCTTTTGGTAAGAGCACAACGGGGAATGACGGTTTTCATACGTGTGTTACTCGAGAACAGATTCACACACACGCAACGTCTACAAAACAAGTGGGTGTGATCCTACTAAGCGTCAACTTTATTAGCCCAAGAACATCGACGCGGCTTTAATCGCGACACGATGCGACTCTGCTAATGCCTACAAACTCGATCAATTATCTCAAGTTGCAATGATATTCAGTGCACAGTATGTGTGGATAATGTGGATGGAGAAACTTTGTTTTGTCCTAAATAAAGAACGGTTTAACAAAACACACAGACCTGTGTTGTTCATCGGCATATTGATCTCATTATCATCATTAGATATGCATGCGAGCTGAGTCTTATGAGCTCTTGTGAAGATGGAGCATACAAGTCCTCCGTCTGACCGATTATCGTCAACATACAGTCATCATGCCGCTTACAAAAAAGACTCAATTCCTTTGCTACAAACTTGTCTCCGTGCTTAAACCCTGTGAACTTGGGGTTTCCAACGACTCCATCCGGGATCAGGGGCTGACAAGCCGGTCCTAGCGTTACAGTGGACTGGTCACGATCTCATGAGGGAAGAATAGACGGGCCTCAGTTTTGCTGCCTACGAATTATAATAATAAGAATTGCCTAGCCATATTATAGGTGAGTAGTTACTTCCCATCATTAGAGTGCTCTCGTCTGGGCATCAGAACAATTTAGCAACACGTACTCGGTACTACACCACGAACTTGACTCTATCTGCCTCCCGTCCCTTGAGGGTTGAGAAACTCTTAACAGGGCGATATCGCTTTGAGGAGGAATCCTCATGTGACTCTTGCTCTCAATCCGGCAATCCTTGCTGTTTGTCCTTCTGCAGCCAATGACAGCAGAAGCCGCCGTGTCGCAGGTCCCGGCACACTTTTCGGAAATTCTGGTAGGAACGGTGAAGTCTGCCGCTCGGCTGATCACGATCTTTTTTATATGCCGATCACATTAACTGTCATATCACATATCAACCTTTCTTTCTATCACAAACATGTCAATCAGCATTATCACAAGGCCATTATGCATGAGGAGCTCCAGGAGCACAGATTGGTGAAGATTTTTTTGCTCTCTTGTTGGCTGTGTGTGGCCCCAGCTTTGTCGCTGCCAGACCAGTGTCTCATAACGATAAAAGACGGGGATCGGCTCCTCTAGCCAAAACGTCCGATTGATATCCCACTTTCCTAGTCCTTTACGACCCGGAAATACAAGGATTGAATCATTCACTACCAAGCCTCGCCCAGCTGAAGAGCATGGCTGTTGTTTCGGGGCCGGGGGTCAGACCGTACTCCGTAGAAAACAAGCCATTCCGTTGTTGTTCAACTGCCTCGAGAACCCCTGGACCCCTTACATTTTCAAGATGCCTTAGGAATGACTCAAATCTCAACCCAGATTGCAATTGAAGAATCCAATGACTGATGCAAGTCTTGCACGTGAGGGACAGTTGGTGCAGTCATTTTGCTGGGTTTCTCTTGTGCCTCGAATGGCAAGCGCCAGCAATTAACAGATGCATTGATATGACGCTCAAGAGGCGGTAACTTGGCCGAGCTGACCATTGCTGTGAAGTAATAAGCGAACCTCTTCCTCACCGATCCTTCTATTATGTAGCACAGCATCATTTGTCCAACACAATTCTGTACGACCGAACCAAGAATATCCGTGGATGTCAGGGCTGGTCCAGTCCTGTTCTAGGATTGAGTGCGGTTCCGCTCGTAGCCAGTCACTTTACGAGCTAATTTTGCTTTTCTCGGCAGCTTTTCTTTTGTCAGCATTGTCACAGCAAAATGAGTCGTCATCAGTATTGTCATTCACAGCCCGGCATATGGGGCCATCGATCGAATACGATAACGATACCTCAGATGGACACAAGGCGCTAACCTCTTGGTTTATTTGATTCCAAGCCATTATGCAGGAGCTTGGATAATTGGGACCAGGAGATGCATCTTGTTTTGCTTTTGCTGTGTTCCTGCAGTAGTGGGCTCGACTAGGCTTGAAATTGTCTGGCTCAAATGTCAACTTCTCGCAAGCATGGGCCCAATTTCTGGTTAGCTCACCTCATAACCAACCAAAGAAAGTTGCATCGAGTAAGACAGTCCCATCTATACAAATCTGAAGGGCGATTCTCCCTGCTTCTGGCGGCCCGGCCCCTTGACCAATTAATCAATCTGGAGGCCATGTCTCAGCTTCATCCAGCCAACATGTCCCAGAACCAAGATCTATTTGATGCGGTGAAGGACAGACTTAAACAAACAAACTCTCGACCAGCAACAACAAAACACGAAGAGGCCAATTTCCCACCAAAAACTTGAGAGCAATTAACATCAGGGATCTGGTGGTTTTAGTGCCGGAAGCCACGGTAGTTGACGTTAATATTAGCCAGGAGACAAGGGCTTTTGGCACAGACAATACCGCCAGTCTGGCTGGACCATACTAGCCGAACGGCCAGAAAAACAAGGACGACACAGCGGAATGGCACCTTGACTGTGAGGCCGGCATGGATAGCCTGGCGGATCGACATTACGAACCGATATACCGGTTTACAAATCTTAGGTGGCTTGTTTTACTACAGCAAGACGAGATGAAGATGCCCAATATGTTTGACTTTTTTCAGAAAGTAGACAGCCGATTAGCTTCTGTCTTAAATACACAGGTCCCCGCGGGATCTAGATCCGTCTTGTGCCGGGCTATCCATCTTCAGGGACCCTGTAGGGCAGGGTAACACTGGGAGGAAAGACGACGTGTAATCCAGAGGCTGGGATGAAGTTATTTCCTGACCAGGAATAGTTGCAAAGTTGCATATTAGGCATCCTTATTCTTTAAAGTTCGTGAGTTATTGTAGACGAGATGACATCTCAAGATAGCATCAATGCTTGTACCTGAGCCCGAGCAGTGTAAGGTACCAGCTTCAGCCTCAGTACTAAGCCGCTTGTTTTCTCTTCCCTCATTCATAATCAGCCACCGCATACTCATTTAACGTGCCTGAACTTTCTTACGAGACCCTTCAGCCATAAGCCACTGACATGCGTCTTACACATGTTCAATCAACGATCAAATAAATAAAAAAAATTGACGTCCTTGTGTCAATTGAAGGGGTCTTGCGGGTCATAGCTGTGAGAATGGCGTGTTCTCAAGGCCGTCATGTTTCATCATCAACGCCCTCAAAATCCTGGCCGTTGAGGCCTGTCCTGTCTGTTGAGCTTGGAACTGTTGGTCCCTTCTGTATCAGATTCATATGAAACATGCAAATGGGTCGGTGCAGTGAATAAAGATGCATGTATGTTGCGATGTTCGGATGATTACATTGATATCTGTCTCAGGAGTATTGAGGGTTCGTTACATGTTTATACCGTTGTCGATGGCTTTTGATTCTTTATGGTCGCCGTGGGTATTATTTTACACTGTTGAAGATTCGGATAGCCTGTAGTTGTGAGACTCTGGCTTGGAATGGAATCATGATGCTGTGGTCATCTGTCATTGTGTGAGTAAACCATGTATCACGACTGAATTAAACCGATACTATGATTCTATTGTGCAACAGATTGTTCACGATGGCCTCGACCAAGAAATAGATGTGTCAATGATTCCAGGTCATCACGGTTAATGAGTCTAATTCCATGTCTGCGTGACCTTTTGGTTGGAATCACGAATACAGAATGTCTTGACCAAGCTGAAAGCAGCACATGCCCGTGGGGAAGTTCAAGTTGGAGAGCGATAGCGGAGTATTGTTCACTGTAGCAAAGTTGCCCCAGCCCCCGCAATCGACTGATGTGCCCTGTGACCTCTATCACCGAGCCTGGAAGTTTGGTTTTGGAGGGTCGTGATCAGCACACAAGCAGACCACTCGTCAGCAACTCCGCCGCAGACTTACTCATTGCGATCTGGTTTCGGTGATCACGATGGATGGACGTCGGGTCTGAATCAACGCTCCTCTAGTATTCATAACCTATCAAATAACCACAAATCCTATTTTAACTTGTATTCTTCTATTTGCACACGCATAAATTGCTCTGTAGTACATGCATACCCTACCTATACTCTATCTATCTGCCTGTTTGCTACAACCCCTCCACACCTACGGTTTAAACAAACTGCCAACACAACTCAGCCAATCATTTTAAGAACGCTTCCTAATTCTGACGTATTCACCGACTCTCATCATATACTCTCTTTTGACGCTCTATTCTTTCTCTGAAAACGTTTATCAGTTGTATCTTATAATTTATAAGAACAACCAAGTGATATATACAAGGAAAGCATCATGGCGTCTCCACCACCGAACACCGCTGTTCCCCGCAGCGACTCGCCAACAAGATCCCCGCGATCAGCTTCGATATCGTTGCAAGCAGCCGCGACCATGAATGCTGGACTTCAACACGAATCTCCACGAAGTACATCCTCTACCAAATTTTTTACCTAAACAATCAACTCGGCCACTAACACCCAACAGGAACGTCAAGCAGCTCCATCTCTCGAAACCAACACTCCCCAAATACCGGTCGACGACGTTCCGCCGTACTCATGAACCTACAACTTAACGACCCTTCCGTGCCTTCGCCAGGCGAGATGGTCAACGAACCGTCTGGCCTACGGACTGCGAGCCCGCAACCTCTTTCTGGATCTCCCCTGACGGGTGATCCCCGTCATCATAGAGCACCCAGCCTGGGTGAACTGCATCAAGAGCTTGAGGCAGAGCAAGAAGCTCATGTGGTAAGAAATATGATGACATGTCATACACAACAACGATGGCTGACCTCTTGATGATAGAATCGCCTCTTGCAGATGATCCGACAGCAGCAGCTCGAACTCCAGCGCCTTCAAGCTGCCAACCCCCATAACCAGAACCAGAGCTCGGCTGTAGAGGATAGCTCTGCCATTTCCGAGCGGTCAGGTCACGGAACCCCCCACGCCTCCAGCTCTCATGTCTCGATCCCTCCTGTTCCAACCGGCGGATCTGGTTCTCGCTCCAATAGCTATCGTCACCCTCGAAGCTCGTTCGATCTCGCCCGTGCCGACCTCCAACGACGATCTCGAACACCCAGTCGTAGTGGTGCCTCCCCACGACTTCGCGCAACTTCCATAGGTGGAAATAGCGAGGATTTGGTTCTGGGTGGTCGCGATGAAAGCGCATTTTATCAGGCTGAGACACAGATGCTGGTTCGTGAGAACCAGATGCTTCGTCACAGAGTACGAGAGCTAGGTAAGCACCATTAGATCGCTTGGTTTGGATCCTTGCTAACACATATCCAGAGAAACAACTGACGGACCTCGGGACTGGGTCGCCGGCTCCTCATGAGCCACCTCACCACTCAAACCTCACAAGATCTTCTACGACAATAGATAAGGAGGAAGACAAGTCCATCGCCGAGGAAGCCAAACCTTGAAGAAGCTGGCTCATATTTTATCCGATACTTAGAACACGAAGCATGTTGAATGTTATGGCGTTAGGCGATCAAGACGGAGGGTATGGGAGCCGACTTTCCAGTGGCAATTGAAACCAGCTCGAGACAAATATGGCGTTATGGATTTACTCTGTATATTATCATGAGTTTGATCACTTGAGAGGAAGAATGGGTAGTCATATGGACTTGATATGGTGAAAATTGAGTTTTCAAAAAGCTTCACAAGCGTCCTATATATTAAGTTATCCTCAACCAGCTAAAGTGTGCTTGTATCGTAAGATCGAGGTCTTAAAGTTTTACGACTCCCTGAAGTTGGCTTCTGATAGTAGCCTGTAGGGTATCAAGCTCATGAGCAACAGTTCTCTACACACTTGCAGTGCCGCCAAAAGATATGCAAAACGTTATAAAGTGAATCCCTATATTTCCTTGCCAATTTGTATCTGTTTCGATCGGCGCATGGTGTAACTCCCCGTCTGTGTTGCGTCGTTGGTCAGCTCGGTGTATGCATTATCTTGGCCGAATTCTAGACATGCTATCCTCCCACTCTTGCAAACAACTCAACTTCAACAACAATCATAATGCTTCGACCATTGGCACGTAAGCTTCCAACAAATCTACGAACTATTCAAAAGAAAAGCTTCAGTTCGACATCAGCAGCCAGAGCCGATTTCACCCATGCTGTAAGTCCACTTCATCGTCATCATAAGACCCGTATCATGACCCGGTTCCGGCGCCGGAGCCTCAGTCTCCGATCGATCCCGTAGCTGGATCACGAGGTACTGAACGGTGGACAAACGCCATTGAGTTGCCACGATGGATTTCAAATCAATTCGAGACTATGACTCTAACATTGTAGTAGGTAATTGGTGGCGGTGTCGTTGGGCTTGCCGTGGCCCGTCAACTTGCACAAAGAGATGATACCTCAACTGTTCTCATTGAGCGCCATAATGCCATTGGCACAGAGACAAGCTCGCGTAACAGTGAAGTTATACACGCAGGTATTTACTACGGACCATCAAGCTTGAAAGCAAAGCTCTGCATCCGTGGTAAGAATCTGCTCTACGAGCTTTGCGAGAAGCACGATATAGGCCATCGCCGCACGGGCAAATGGATCGTCGCTCAAAACAAAGCACAGCGTGAAACTCTTGAGAAGATTCGCACCCTGTGTGAGAACGATCTCGGTGTCCCAACGCGATGGGTGAGCGGTGAAGAGGTCAAGAGAGACGGTGAAGGCGTCAATGCTGCTTGTGCGCTTGAGAGTCCGACAACGGGTATCGTCGACTCGCACGGCTTAATGTTGTGTCTCCAAGGTCTATTTGAGGATGCTGGTGGTGTTGCGGCGCTCAACTCACCCGTCGTGAACATCAAACCTCTCGGATCTAGACCCGGTAGTGAAGGTTGGGAGATTGATGTTAAAGATGCTGCCACGGGTGAGACGTCGAGTATCACGGGTGAGACGCTCATCAACGCTGCTGGTCTGGGAGCTGCGGTTATTCACAACATGATTGTCCCACCTGAAAAGCGACAGGAGCTGTACTATGCCAAGGGCAACTATTTCTCGTATTCTGCCTCTCAGCCCAAGATCTCGCGTCTCATATATCCCGTTCCTGAGCCTGGCATTGCAGGTCTAGGCACCCATTTGACGCTTGATCTTGCGGGACGTCTACGTTTCGGTCCTGATGTGGAATGGATTGACGATCCCAATGATTTAGCTGTCAACGCAGCACGATTGCCGCAGGCTATTAAGGAGATCCAGCGTTATCTTCCAGGCATTGACGCCTCAGCTTTGGTGGCAGACTATGCTGGTATTCGACCCAAGTTAGCTGGTCAAGACGCTGTCCTCAAAGGCAAAGGGTTCCACGACTTTATCATTCGGAAAGAGGAGGGATACGAGGGCTGGGTAAATCTGTTGGGTATTGAAAGTCCTGGCTTGACGAGCTCACTGGCAATCGCCGAGATGGTACAAGAATTGCTCTACGGGTCCGGCAAGTCACTTTAAAGCATAGTATTTGTTTAGTCGTAGCTAGAATTCGTTGGATTATATTCAAGCTATCATCGATAACAGCTAAGCTATATATGAGCATGTAAGAAGCGAAAGGTAATGTAATGTGACTGAGATTAAACATCGCAAACGCCATGTCAAGAAGAGGTAGGAATGTACTCAAGGTATCCTGTGCCCATGCTAATAAGGAACCGTCGTTACTGGTCATCACTTTTGGTAAATCAAGATATCACCCCGAAGCTGCTATTAGAAACCACCTGCGCCAGCACAAAGGTTCGCATCCACTCATTGATTTCTGGCCTTTTACCTCATCGAAACGCTCGGGAAGAACTTCCTGCTCTGGGTGTCCACGTGGAGCTCGTATATACCATTCTGTGCACCAACAAAGCTACGTCATGTTAGCAAAAAGCGTATACAGAATAACCAAAAGCAGACTTACAGTGTACGACCATCTTCGCTCCACGCCAACCCAGCAGTATTGTCTGGCGAAGGCGGGACTTCGAAGACGCCATGGTCATCCTCCCATCGATTCACCACCTGATTGATAAGCGGCACTATGATCGTTGTATCGTCGGGGTCGCGGTCGTTATCTCGTTCTCGTGCCTGAAGAATCTCAAGCACGGTGAGATAGGACGAATCTTGGCGCTGCCGTTGTTCCCTAAGCATGGCCACTGTTTCACCGAGACTCTCCATCAACCGATCTGGCCTTCTTCCAATTTCCGGGGTGTCGGAGGCTTCACGTGGAGTTCTTGTCACTGGACGTCTGCCGTAATTGCTGCCCAGCAGCTCTCCCATGGCACGACCGATACTACTACTCCTCCGAGCCATAGGCCGCTCATTGTCATCGTTGCCAATAGTTCGACGGGCTGACCTGGCCGCCCAGAAGTTAGTCGGACCACCTGTAGGCCTCTCGTCCGCCGCCGCCGCCGCCGCCACTCTTTGAGCAGCTCTTTCACGACTACGCCTACCAAGCTGCATAGCCTCAAGTACAAGTGTCTCGTTGGCAGTCAGAGGAGTATTAAGGGCATCGATTACGTCTCGGCGTCTGCCAGTCTCTGTAGCGCCTGATCCGAGGGCAGCATCTCTTCTCTCGCGGCGGCTATCCAAAAGTCGCGGATCGATGGTGTTTCGGTCCGGGATGTTGATGTGCTCGAAAACTGGTTCTTCGATGTTTACAATTTGACGAACATAAAAATTGCTCCTCATATCAGCAATTCCAACATTGCCTCTGTCCTCTGTCCACGCAAGCATCCCGAATGGTCCGGGGCAGAAGGCCATATCTCGAATAGCACCAGGGCCACTGTGTGGCCGTGAAGACGGGAAAGTTGTAATAAGGGGGTCGGCATTAGGATTTGCGAGAAGTGCGGCGTTGAAGATGGAGATGGTGCCATGTTGGGTCCCAACAGCGAGATATGCTCCGGATTCGGAGAAACAGGCGGCAAAACTTCCTCGGCTGTCTGTTCTGTCGTCTTTCTTTTGGCTCTTGAGAAGTATTCTCTGTGTCTGTTCCCATTGGTATATAGGACCTTCACTTGACCTCGTCGCTGGAGATTCTGCAACGCTGCTGACTCTCTCATGGATATACAGATATGGGTCGTCGAGAATGGCGATCAGAAGTCGGCCGTCTGGAGAGATGAGTGCGCGGTTCACGAAGTCTGGGTAAGTGATGATATCCAATGCCTCTGTCTTCTCTTTCTGGTCAAAATCGTTAAGGCTCACTAGTGTAACAGTGCGGTCGTTGTTAGCCAATACCGCCACTGGTTCTTTATACGCCCTATCGTGTGCTGGCATGCTTGTTGGCGGGAACCAAAGTGTAATGCAGTTTACCCGGTCTTTGGCTAACTTCATACTTTTCGCGATCAGGGTTTTGTTATTCCGTCTCGCGCGGCTCAGAAGAGAGAGTATAGGGTCATCACGGGACGAGTCGAGTCCTAGGCTAAGTCGAGTGTCTGGATCGAGTTCTGATAGAATTCCATGGCCATCATCGTTTCCTTCATCGAGTCGAATTGCCACGAAATCGCCACTCTCACTCCCACAACATAGCCATCCTTTCTCGGCGACGAGGCACCGAGGCGCAAATGTGAGGAGTTTGATAGTTTCGCATTCTCGGGTTGTCGTGTTCAGTCGTTGGACATGGTTACTGCCATTGCCACCTGGAAAATAGACGATGTCCTGCTTCTCGGCGCTAACGAGAGACCGTAACTGCCAATGTCTGGATATCATGAGCATGATGGCGCCACACCAAGATAGATTATGACATACTGCGAGCGCACGGGGATACGATAATGTTTCCGCGCATGCTTCGAAACGAGGGCATCGGTCGGATACATGCTGGACGATGTTAGTATTGATGCAAGCAATGGGCATGATTGATAAGCTCGTTGGCTATGAGGGTCGTCATACTCGTTCTCGTCTATCGCCATCTTGGACCACGCCGCCCCTCGGAGGGAGCGACAATGCAGAGAATTGCGAGCTACCCTGTGGTTGAATATCGATACGATGAGGTTTTGTCCTGCGTATGAGTTGTCGAGCTCTCGAATTCCCCGGCGGCTAGTGGGCGCAACGCGAGCGGCACGGTTGTGGCGAATAATGCGACAGGCAGATTGCGGATGATGGGGAGTGTGAGATTATCGAGCTGTTTATTTGTTTTCCGATGTGAAATGACGGTTATGGGAGCGTAATAGAAGAAATGTCGTTGGCCGAGTCGGGCGATTACTGATGTGGGTTATGAAGGTTGCATGCACGAATGACGTCTGGCTTGATCTGATTTAATGGGCGAGGGTCTACGGGATAATTTCAGGACCGACCCAAGCTCAATGGTCAACCAAGATCAGGTATAGCTCAATTCAGTGTTGGGTAAATTGTTTTTTTTTAATTGACTTGAATATATTTGAATAGCCTTGATACACCAGACTATCATTATTTACTACCGGTTAGTAGTGGGAGTCGTGTAACTATGAAAAACATCTCAATCCAGGGTTCTGCTTAGATGAAGCTATTTCTCGGTGTCTCTGATGGAGAATACGCACAGGCCATGAAACATCATGAATTATATCACTGCCCGTCACCACTCAGTATTAGAATGCGGTTACTGGCAATGGAGAAAGGTCAATGAAGAAAACGACGACAACAACAACAACAACAACAGAGAAGTATTTCCTGTCTATGAGTATACTATGTCCTTGTTTGAAGAAGTGGAACTGTCAACTGGTGACATGTAAAGCCATCGAACACCGACTTTCATAAGCTTGTCCATGCCGTCATCAGCCTTGCAGCTATAATACTTACTGAATGCATTCCGTATCATGACACCAGTACCAAACTACCTTAGACTGGCTGACTCGCGTATGACAGACAGCTTCGTGCAAGACCCCGAGTTATGAACTTCTTGACATGCCCGAGCCAAATCCGTTACTTTTCCGGTAACACCGAAGCATTCATCACGTGTGGTGAAGCTTTTCTCAGCCATCTTCTGGGGGAAGAGGAGCACTTCTCATTAGCGTGCAGCGCGGGTCTTCTCATTGCGTCCGATCCCCATTGGCTCCGCATATTCGGGATACAACGTAGAGAAGAGACGGCATTTTGCATCATGAATTGAGGAGCGCAGGAGGTCGGGTAGGCATAGTGCAAAGTTACAGTCAAGCGCATATAGTCGTTAGATATTCTAGATCCTCTTTCGCTAATTGGCTTTCATGATATGCATTATCGGGAACCATTCCGTTGATTCTAACAGATCCTTCACGTAGGTTCGGAGTGGGCCTCCACAGGAATAACCATGGTCCGAACCTAGCCGGTTCAGTGGAGACAACCCGGTGCTTGCCTCTTTCCTTTGGCTTCTATGACCGACCGGGGAAAGAGCTTTTTTCGAGTAAAAAAATTCGTTCCTCTCGATTCCATCATCTCCATTCATACTCAATCCTCTAAAACACCACCTCCTCCCATCTACTCTCCGACTTGCGCCTTCATCCTTTTTCTTTTCCTGTACTCTATACCCATATACCCATAATCAAAATGCTGGCTTCGCGCTTGTCGAGGGCTGTAAGTCTTTCTCTTACACCGCAATCGCTTCATCCCACATTGTACTGACCATCGCATCAGCTTCCCCGAGCTTCCCCTCTCGCCGCTCGCTCGGCTGCTTTCACCCGATCTCCTCTGGCTGCCAAGTTCGCTCGCTATGAGTCCACTGAGTCTGAGGGCAAGGTCCAGGGTGCCGTGATCGGTATCGATCTTGGTACCACCAACTCTGCCGTCGCCATCATGGAGGGCAAGGTCCCCCGCATCATTGAAAACTCGGAAGGTTGGTTTTACATGCCAATTCGTCTCACGGACAACCACTAAACATTGCTCAATTAGGTGCCCGAACCACTCCTTCAGTTGTTGCTTTCGCCGAGGATGGCGAGCGACTTGTCGGTGTCGCTGCCAAGCGTCAGGCCGTCGTCAACCCAGAGAACACCCTCTTCGCTACCAAGCGATTAATAGGACGCAAGTTCAAGGATGCTGAGGTTCAGCGTGATATCAAGGAGGTCCCTTACAAGATCGTTCAGCACACCAACGGCGACGCCTGGGTCGCTGCTCGTGGCCAGAACTACTCTCCCTCTCAGATTGGTGGTTTCGTCCTCAACAAGATGAAGGAGACCGCCGAGGCCTACCTCTCCAAGCCCATCAAGAACGCCGTCGTCACCGTCCCCGCTTACTTCAACGACTCTCAGCGACAGAGCACCAAGGATGCCGGTCAAATTGCCGGTCTTAACGTTCTCCGTGTCGTCAATGAGCCTACTGCCGCCGCCCTTGCCTACGGTCTTGAGAAGGAGGCTGACCGCGTTGTCGCTGTTTACGATCTTGGCGGTGGTACCTTCGATATCTCTATCCTCGAGATCCAGAACGGTGTCTTCGAGGTCAAGTCCACCAACGGTGACACCCACCTTGGTGGTGAGGATTTCGATATCCACCTCGTCCGCCACCTTGTCCAGGACTTCAAGAAGACCTCTGGCATTGACCTGTCTGGGGACCGCATGGCTATCCAGCGTATCCGTGAGGCCGCTGAGAAGGCCAAGATCGAGCTTTCTTCTTCCCTCTCTACCGATATCAACCTTCCTTTCATCACTGCCGACTCCTCTGGTCCCAAGCACATCAACATGAAGCTCAGCCGAGCTCAGCTTGAGAAGATGGTTGACCCTCTCATCACCCGCACCATCGAGCCCGTCCGCAAGGCCCTCAAGGATGCTGGCCTCTCCGCTAAGGAGATCCAGGAGGTCATCCTCGTTGGTGGTATGACCCGTATGCCCAAGGTTGCTGAGTCCGTCAAGAGCATTTTCGGCCGCGACCCCGCCAAGTCCGTCAACCCCGATGAGGCTGTTGCCATTGGTGCTGCTATTCAGGGTGCTGTCCTTTCTGGTGAGGTCAAGGATCTTCTCCTCCTCGATGTTACCCCTCTGTCCCTCGGTATTGAGACCCTCGGTGGTGTCTTCACCCGTCTGATCAACCGAAACACCACTATCCCCACCAAGAAGTCCCAGGTCTTCTCCACCGCAGCCGACTTCCAGACTGCCGTCGAGATCAAGGTCTACCAGGGTGAGCGTGAGCTCGTCAAGGATAACAAGCTTCTCGGAAACTTCCAGCTTGTTGGTATCCCCCCTGCTCACCGTGGTGTCCCTCAGGTCGAGGTTACCTTCGACATTGATGCTGACTCCATCGTCCACGTTCACGCCAAGGACAAGTCCACCAACAAGGATCAGTCCATCACCATTGCTTCCGGTTCCGGTCTCTCTGAGAGCGAGATTGAGCAGATGGTTGAGGACTCCGAGAAGTACGCTGAGGCCGACAAGGAGCGCAAGGGTGCTATCGAGGCTGCCAACCGTGCTGACAGCGTCCTGAACGATACCGAGCGTGCTCTTAACGAGTATGCTGACAAGCTCGACAAGACTGAGGCCGACTCCATCAAGGAGAAGATCACCACTCTCCGTGAGTTCGTCGCCAAAAACCTCTCTGGTGAAGGCACCGCCACCGCCGCTGAGATCAAGGAGAAGACCGATGAGCTCCAGGTTGCCAGCTTGAACCTCTTCGACAAGATGCACAAGGCCCGCAACGAGAGCAGCGGCGAGCAGTCTTCCTCTTCTGAGCAGTCTCAGGAGGGTGAGAAGAAGGATGAGAACAAGCCTTAAGAGTCTTGATTCTGTGTTATAAAAACTTGTTACAATATCTGAGGATGAGAGATCTGTGCGGCTCAGATCTCTCACCTGTCCTGTATTTCACTGTATTCATATCCCGCCTAGCCGCTTTTACACTTTTTACCCATATCATGTTTCAGGGTTGGCGGATCTGGCGTTGGAGCTTTAAAACCTCTATTGAGAGAGATCTTTGGTTGTTTTTTTGAGATGATGTCACGGAATGGGGGATCATGTTGTATATCTGTATCATGACTTGCCTATAGGTAGACTAATCACACATCCCCCCTCAAAACATGTTTACCTTCATGGTACTCAATATGACTTGATGTTTTATGTACGCATGTTCCTTTGCTCATGATTATGATTGTGTTAAATATGTTGATATTCAATGAAAGATTGATGATCGTGATATATCATGACATCCATCCCCAAGCAGTATTAAGTCTGTTTACACCGTGCCAGTGAATCGTTTTCGCCTTCTTCTGTCCCTCTTTACCCCCCACACTCTCTAGTAGACTCCCTCCGTTTAACTCCATCATCGAACGCGCAGGCTTTAACCTTGATGCATGTGGTGCTGGCAACTGGAAAGTATCGTATAAAGACCCACGCTCATTAGGATTCTGGAGCGGTACTCGTTCACCTCGGAAAGCAGTATCCGCAAACAGAAGCTGTCGAGATTCGATCTCGACCTCAGAGACTGGTCTCACCTTTTGTTCGTTTGTTTTCTTTTTGCTTCTTCTGCTGCTTCTGCTGCTTCCGCCTGATGACGATGGTGTTGGTGAGGGCGGGGGATATGTGGTGTTGAGAAACCAGCCGCGGCGTTGGGAAAGGCGACGCTCAAGGAGTTGCCGGAGGATTGATACGAAGAGAGATACGACGGCGAGAACGATTATTATGGCGATGATTGTCGCTGGATAAGGATGTATCGAGGTGTGCTTGGGATGCCAGCCTCGCGATGGTGTTTCCAACGCTGGGTCTTGGTCCATCATGCGCAGGTTTTAATAGTTAATGAGAGTGAGTACAAAAAAAAAAAAAAAAAAAGAACAAAGACAACAGAATGTGAGCCTGAGTGAAAAATGAATGTGAGGCTAACAAAAATCAGAGAGCTTGGACCGCTTGGTGTAGAGGCCCAACAAGCATCTTGCGATCACGATTGAAGGTGAAGCGCAGTTGAAGTTGAAAACGGGAAGATGAAAGTATCACTACGAGTACCACGAGATTATCAACAGTAAATAAACAAGGTTCCATCAGTCACGAAGCAAGCTACGGCGAGGAAGCAAGGTCCTGTCTTGTACAGGAATGGAGTAGAATGAGACCAAGCAACCAGTCGACAACAAGGAACAGGGATGGATATATAAGACATTTCACAACGAATTCGGCCATTAATAAAAGTGGATAAGACATCTGGAAAACGTGCTAAGGAATCGACGCGACCTCAATAAATCGCTTTGCAGAATATATTTGACTATGATCTTCCGAAACCGAACCATCCTCTCTTCGCTGGAGCTGGTGATTCTGTCCTCTCAGGGGTATCCGCCTGAGAAGGCGCTGCTGCTGCTGCTTGTTGTTGCTGTTGCTGCTTAGGCACCTTGTTGGGATAATCGATGTAGTTCCATGCCACGTCAAGGAAGATAGGCTTCACGGGGATGGTGGCAAGCTTAGGGGGGAATTCGACGACGTGCGACAGATTAACGCCACCAACGGGGTACTGATGCAGACTTCCGATAAGAGGCTGCTTCACGGCATCTGAGGCCCTCAGCTCGTGGTTCTTGCGGAGGGCGTCGGCGTGAACAATAGCTCGGTGACGTTGAAGCTCGCCGTTGAGAAGAGTTTGGAGATACTCGGCATCTTCGGCGGACACGGTCAGATTGAGGGGAGTGCGGTTTGATGATCCATCAGAAGATGAGATGCTTGACTGAGACTCCTCGACAAGACCGTCTGCGTGGTTGATGAGAGCTAGAGCAGCAGCCAGGTTGCTGGAGATGGCATGTGAACGAGCGATTGCCAGAGCCCTAAAGTTTTGTTAGAAAACAAGCAAATGCTAGGTTAAGGTTGTGACTTACTTGAGAGCTTCGAAGTACTTCACGTAGGCGGCAATTTGTTCAGCCAACCCCTGATCGTTAGCCACACCAGGAAGTTCTGTGATCGACTCGATGTTCTGCAGAATACCGTCATACAGAGCAACCTTCTCCTTCAGCTTAGCCAGCTTCTTGCCCGTAGGAATCTCCTTTACAGGCTTGACTGCTTCTGGGGCTGGCTTGCCCTTTCGTTTCCTCAACACATTGTACTCCTCAGGGGCACCGTCGTGTTCTCCTGTCAAAACCCTGCTGCGACCAATTCTCCAGCTGATGGTTTCGAAGTTGACGGCGGTACGAGTGATTTGCAGACTCTGCATCCTGGCATCGCCTTGTTCAACACCCTCGGCCCTCATCTCATCAATTGCCTGCTTGGTGGCATCAACAGCATCCTGGCTGAGCATGAGAATTTCGTCATAAGCGCCAGCAAGTTCATAAGGTCCTCGTCCCTTGGGTTCAGCAAGATCCTTTGCCAATCGATCCTTCGCAGCGAGTACGGCACCCCACGCCATTGCAATTTGCGCATCTTCGATGTTGACCTCCCGAGACCTCCAAGTCAGGGTCTTAGGTGCGCCTTCAGCACTGGCGATTCCATCCTTGGCCTTTGCTTCGTCTGATTTGAGAATAGTGGGGTCGATATCGTTGATCTGCTTGACGAGGTTCGAGTCAGATTGAGGGAACGCCTTTCGAGCAATGATGGGAATCGGGACAGTTCGAGGTGTCTGAAGTTGGTAGGCGGCGTATCGGATAGACGGATCGATGGTTTCGGCGAGCAAGTCCTTGTATAAATCGCCATTGGTTCCAGTTGCAAGCGCACTGTAGATGACACGTGCCGTGGCATAGTTGCGCAAACTCGGTTCCCAGCTCTGCTTTTCGAATGCAGCGGTACCACGGATAAGAGAAGCGTATGCGGTTGCCTCGAGGAGATCGGTTTGGGAAGCGCCGGATACGTCGGTCTGAGAGAGGGCTTCGACAAGCTCGTCGGCAGCACGGGTGGCCTTGGTGAGACGGGAGGCAATATGCGATCGAGTTCGGCCCGTGATTCCCTTGGTATCGCTCGTATGACCGGACTTCATGCTCATGGTCTGAGCCCACGCTCGCTCGCTTGTAAGAAGAAGTAGATGGACATATCTGGTTTCATGTCAGGCCAGTTTTTGGATTTCGAGTCTCGGAATGTGCCTACTCATGGTTCTCTGCGATCTTTTCTGCGGTGACCTTGTCATGGTCGTGAAACTTTCCGCGATTCTTAGTCGCAATGTTGAGCTTCTTGCGGCAGCTTAGCAGCTTCTTGGACAAGCTCTTGTGATAAGTCGAGTAATCGCCGTAGAGGAGAGCCTGGTCGCGGCCTTGGACGACGAATTTGGTGATATCCATGGCTGCTGATGACGAGGGCGACTTGGCGACCCTGGTTTGTTACCGACAAGTGCAATTAACGGTGTAAGAGAGAGGCCCTTTAGATTCGTTGCGAAGGCCTTTGGAGTGAGGTTGATTAATGGCTGATGAGGCTTTGCCCGACGTGGAGGTTCAGCGGGGGATCCAACAGCAAGGAATGGCGGGGCACTTTTTGCTCATCCACAAAAGTTTCATGGTGATGATGATGAAGGAAAAAAGGTGGGCACCTTTACCCATCTTGGTTTAGTTTTAGGCGCCCAGCGTGGGCTCTTTTGGCTGCGTGACCACTGCATCTCCTCCACTGGAGAGCTCCAAGGTGAAAGTCACGCTTCAGGTTGTCACGCGCCATCCAGGGGACGTGCTTCCAAATCTACAGCCCAAGTTCAGCGCTCTAAAAGATCAAGCAAATATCTTTTGGTGCTTCAACTTTTAACCTTGACTCTGTTTCTAGAGTCATCTCTCTATGCAGAGATAATCTGACTCTTTAAACTATTCATCTCCAGCTTCTGTCTTCTCTACAAACTGGAGCTCTTCTTTCCCTTCTTCGCCCCTCGTCCTTGATAACGAGGCCAGCGGCTTATCATCGCATCACATCGCCTTGCATCGTCTCGCCTCTTCACATTCAACTCAACTCAACCTCAATCACGTTCAACTGAGAGTGCATGCACGTGATCGTTTTAAAATATCTCTTCACTGCACTCTGCACTCTCTTTTATCCATTTTTTTCTATCTTTCAGATACAACAAAGGCACTCATCCCCCAAGTTCTATATAAGGTACTTCTCATGAGAACGGTACCTCTTCTCATGAAACTAACCCGCACAATACCCTTCTTGAACTGCATCCTGCAAGTAGCCGCCTGCCACCTGCGGCCTTCATAAAGGATGGCTACAAATGGTATATTCCTCTCCTCCAATCAATATCTTCCCAGTTCCTCAACCGACAACTTCCCATTTCATCCTGTTCCATCTCATGAATCAGAATCAGAGCTAACTTCATCCAGGTCAACCATCTCACTCTGCAAACGGTGTTCCACCATGGAATCCAGTTGCTCTACTGCAGCCAAACCAGAGGGCTGTTTCAACTCCGAACCTCGTAAACTCCGGGCAGGGCCAGTTCTCGCCATCTCTCCATCATGCTCACCCGGCTCAGAGAATGCAGCCCAGACCTCAAATGAACATGAACATGCACAACAACTCCATGGTCTTTCAGTTCTCCAGTCCTAATGATACTCCATCTGCTGGCCCCTCCAGTAGATCATCCACTCCAGGTAGTAGTTGTGCCAATGGTTTCAACGGTGCAGGCCACTTCATTGAGCGTGCGAATAATGTTCAGCATCGCTCTGTCGTTCCTCAACCAAAGCGAAGGAGAACCGAAGACAGCGAGGGAGTTCACAATTTTATGACTCCTCCAGCACAGGGCGGAAGTGGAATTCTGGGTCAATATGTTACGGACAAACGCAAAGAAGCCAATAGTGCAACTGCGTCACCAGCCATGACAGTTGATCTCACTAGTGGTAAGTCCCGTCGAGAGTCACTTTATGCAATGTTACTAACACGACCAGGAAATGACGACGAGGATGTAGTCGTTCAAGATCCCCGCGAGGAAGAGGTTTGCTACGGAATGATCAAGGCTTCATTGGGCTGCACTCGAGTCCCTTCGCCAAAGCCAGGCACCCAACAGAGTGTCTGGGGTCCAAACTATCAACCTGCAATCAAAGTTGTGCTCAAGCGGCAGGTCGGTGATACCTCGCTTAAGATACAAGCCTACGACCACACACGACAGATCATTGGTCTGGTAGAAAACCAAGGTGCTCGTGCCGTTGCGCCTCTTCTCGACTCAAACATTCACCTGAGAACGGACAGCCGAATCCCGCCGCAGCCAAAGAAGCCCGGCGAGGAGCCTGGCCAGCCCACCTCACGATCCTATACCCTCGACATCGTCATGTATGGGCCCATCAAGTACGCTAGGAACGTAGGCGCTCATCTGAGCAAGTTTGGCCTGAAGTTGCTGGCCCCTTATCTTGTTCAGAAGGGAATTCGTGTTCAGAACCCTCATGTTCTCGAATATCGTCCCCCACCTCCAAAAGTATATTCTACTGTGCCTACAAACGATGGGCAAAATGCCTCTTACACCAGCACCTTCAACAACCGAACCGTGGAGGAGATTCGTTCAGAAGTTATGGGCGTCTTCGATTCCCTCACACGAAACGATGATTTGCCGGAGATGGAACCTAGCCAGGATATCCTGACGCCTCTGCTTAAGCATCAGAAGCAAGGATTGTTCTTCATGATGACCAGAGAAAAGCCCCGGGAGGCGCAGGCATATGAAAAGACTATGGTTTCCTTCTGGCAAGACAAATTTGGCCCCGCCGGCCAGCGGATATACTTCAACGTTATCACTGGTCAAAACCAGGCCAGGCCACCAGCGGAAACTCGGGGAGGAATTCTGGCTGACATGATGGGCCTTGGTAAAACGCTCAGTATTTTGTCCTTGATCACGACATCCACCGATGCTGCGTATGAGTGGGAACGACAAGCACCTGTCCAGCCAGAAGCGCCCGAGCAGAAACCGACGAAACACGAGGTTCTCTCCCAGCAGCCGACTCTTGCCTTGACTCCGTTGATGAGGAACGCAAAGACCACCTTGCTTGTGTGCCCTCTCAGTACGGTAACAAACTGGGAGGAACAGATCAAGCAACACATTCGACCTGGTGCTCTCGACTACCACATTTATCACGGCCCAAACAGAATCAAGGACCCTGCAAGACTCGCAAACTTCGACCTCGTGATTACCACCTATGGTTCTGTATCGAATGAACTCAGTTCTCGTCGAAAGAAGAAGGATGGCCAATATCCATTGGAACAGATTGGCTGGTTCAGGATTGTGCTGGATGAAGCTCACATGATTCGTGAACACAGCACTCTCCAGTTCAAGGCCATCTGTCGACTGCAGGCAGACCGACGCTGGGCCGTCACCGGTACACCCGTGCAGAACCGGTTGGACGATCTTGCTGCCCTATTGGCCTTCCTTCGACTGCACCCATTCCACGATCGATCCAAGTTCCTTCGATACATTGTGGAGCCATTCAAGGCATGCGATCCTGAGATCGTGCCCAAACTCCGAATCCTCGTAGATACAATCACGTTACGTCGATTGAAAGACAAGATTGACCTGCCTCCTCGAGAGGACCTTGTGGTGAGACTTGATTTCAGTCCCGAGGAACGCAGCATCTACGACTTGTTCGCAAAGAATGCGCAGGATCGAGTCAAGGTGCTCGCTGGAACTAATAATGGCCAGGCACTGGGCGGTAATACCTACATCCACATTCTCAAGGCAATTCTACGACTTCGACTACTCTGCGCGCACGGAAAGGATTTACTCAATGACGCCGACCTAGATACATTGCAAGGAATGTCGGCAGAGATGGCAATCGACATTGATGATGATGATGATGACGACAAACCAGCACTCTCTGATCAGAAAGCACACGAGATGTTTACATTGATGCAAGAGACCAACAACGACGCATGCATTCAATGCAGCAGGAGGATCAGCTCCAACGAGAGCTCTAATATTGAAACAGAAGGCCAGGATGATATTCTGGGTTTCATGACGCCTTGTTTCCATGTCATTTGCCGAAACTGCATCAAAACGTTTAAGGAACGGGCCAAAGCTCTGATGCCAGAGGGCGAGAACAGCGGATATTGTCCAGTCTGCAATGCCTACGTGAGACATGCTTTCGTACAGCTTCACCGAAGGGAGGTGGACGCGGAGCATGACGGTCCAGCCAAGCCCAAGTCACGAAATGCTGTCAAGAATTTCGACAAGTATGACGGCCCGCATACAAAGACTCGCGCTTTGATCGAAGATCTCCTGAAGTCCAAGGCAGCGAGTGAGGCAAACCCGTCTGAACCTCCGTACAAATCGGTAGTTTTCTCAGGCTGGACTTCTCATCTGGACCTCATTGAGCTTGCACTCAACGCCAACGAGATCGTGTTCACCAGGCTCGACGGCAGTATGAGCCGCACACAACGAACCACCGCCATGGACAGATTTCGCGAGGACAGCACTGTCCATGTGATCTTGGTATCAATCATGGCAGGTGGTCTGGGTCTGAACTTGACTGCTGGAAACAGCGTATACGTGATGGAACCGCAATACAACCCAGCCGCCGAGGCTCAGGCTATCGACCGTGTCCATCGGCTGGGGCAGAAGCGGCCTGTCCGCACCGTTCGATACATCATGCGGGACAGTTTTGAAGAGAAGATGCTGGAGCTTCAGGAGAAGAAGATGAAGCTTGCCAGCTTGAGCATGGATGGCCAAAACAGGAGCTTAGACAAGGCGGAGGCAGCTCGGCAAAAGTTGATGGATCTGCGTAGTCTTTTCAAATGAGTGACGAACAAGCCTCAGTCCCGTTGGGTACTGGAGCATTAATGACCGCATGAGACGGGAGTTTTCGGTGTGCTTTTCTTCCTTATCTACTTAGTTATTTTCTCTCAAGGCCTTTTTCTCAACTCACTGGAAGTGAGTCGTTTCGGGCTCGAGTAGCATCATCCTGAGCGTGAGCGCTCAGGCATCATGGGATGTGTTACTTTTTTTGTTCTTCGTTCTCGGGCAAGGCTATACACCTGGCTCTCACGAGATGGTTTGTTCTTCTTATATTGCATTATGGGATCATGGGCTGGGAATGGGATGGGGTGGCAAGCGTTGAGTGGCATGCGGTACTACAAAATACGACCCTGGGATTTGCTGCATGGCGTACCTGGGGGAAACAGGCTTTTCAGTGGGAGATCAATGGGAATATGGGGCCTTATGATATAGACAATCAATGAAGTTTTTCAGTAGATCTTTGACCTCGAGAAAAATCAGGCGCATGTCAGGGTTGAAAAGTTGTTTGGTGGTATCTTATTCTGATAATGATCCTAATCTACTGATCCCTATAACGCCCCTTTGCCATCGCCTTTTGTCTAGCAAGACTTATAGTTTAGGTTGACTCGTCCTCCTGCCGTAGTCCAGCATACTCTGTACCCTGATTCGCAGTGCTCAAGCGCGCACACAGACTCAACAGGACTACTGTCTCAGTAGCAGCATAATGGTTCAGTGCATCAAGCAAGATCTGCAGATGTCGACTGAAATTGCCCTCCCATTTACGGATGATCTCAAAGAGATTGTCAATACGGGCATCTACCTCAGCGTTACCAGCCGAGGCAGCAGAGGTGTCATGATGAGCTGATGTTGAGCCGCGTTGTACCGTCTTTGTCATCTGGAATCGCTTCCATTGATCTGCTGTCATGGTTGGGGGCTTGTTATTGCCTGATAGGTCTGGGTCTGACTTTTCGAGCTCACGAGTGAGCCAGTTTGTGTAGGCAGCGAAGATGGTACATGTCTGCATGAGTTTGGAATGGATCTGGAAGACAAGTTAGTCATTGAACAAGGATTAATTGGCAAAAGAGGAAGTCTTACCCTCAAAAGCTTGCTGTTGGTGAGCATGCACTCCTTGAGGCATGTATCCAAAAAGTCGACATGATCCTGCATCAACTCATCGACAGTCCGTGTTGGCACTCCTAAACTCGAGTCCATAGGCTCATCCTTTGTCTTTAGACGTGACATGAACTTGTTCCAGTTTGGTTCGATGACTTCAGCCGTACAAAAGTAGAGGAGTTGTTGTACAAATACCAACATGCGGGCACGAAGTGTCCAAACACGTCGCTTCCAGATCTCAAGTTTTCGCAAAGCACCCTTGTGTGCCCAGCTAATACCCCGAGTCTGTGTTTGCCATGTGGTTGAGAGTTGCGATTCAAGATAGCGGAGTGAAAGGAGATAGCGGAAGAGAGCTTGGTATCGCCATACTGTCTTTCGACTGATGACGAGCGAGACAGGGAAAGGAACGGAGTAGTCAAGTTGCAGGGATGTGAAGCCAACAGCGTTCTTATCATTCTCAATAGGCTGATTAGCAACAGGCTGGAGCGCCTCTCCCTGCTCAATACCCGTGATGTTAACAACACGCTGCAGAGCCTTTGTGAGAACGATCTCATTCATTTCCACCTTGACATCCTCCTTGAACGGATCAAGAGAGACAAGACTTCCGGGCTGACGCAGGACAAGATCCAGTAAAGATTGCAGCTTGCCGGTGTTAACAGACTTGACGGGTTTGCGCAACTCTGAGGCGCCCAGCTCGAGGAAATAGGAGAAGTAGTCTGAGGGATCGAGGAAGAAGTAGTGCTTGAGGGATCGTAGACGAGCAGGTAGAGAGTGAGCTGTGAGGAGAAGTTGCATGAGAGATTCGTTGGCGTGGGCGTAAGCATTGTTGACGTTTTCGAGGAAGCGGTTGTCGTCGAAAGAGGCTGGTACGTCTTTTGAGACTTTGCTCACATCGACGCCACCACATTCGCGGACAACGTTGAGATACTTGCCCGCTAATAGAACTTTGTCCTTGACACCCTCGAGTTGTGGAGGAACATCATGATCTCGTATTGTGTATCTCCTCTCCCAATATTCATCAGTGTAATCTTGTTCCAATCTCTCACGTTTAATGCTCTTTTGTTCCTTGATGAGGAACTCGGCATGAGGGTCATGGATTCCACCATGATGAAGCCATTCGTTAAGCATAACCATGTAAGGTTTGCTGGCGTCCCGCAATAATGTCGTTAACAACGCCCGAGCTGAAGGGTCGCCTGATAAAGATTCGAGACGTTTTGTGATTAAACCCAGGACCACGCCGCCTTTGCAAATCTTCTTGCCTGTCATGTTGCCTGGTACCAACTCGCCTCCGTCTCGAAGCGTCTCGAGAATGTTCTCAAAATCATCAGCACTATCTTCAGATTCGTCGGTTTCGTCGTCGAGAAGAGCGTTCTTTTTAAGTAGTTCATGAGCGAGTGAGTACAGCTGTAGCATCATCTGACTTGTGGACATGGTATGAATGTTGAGCACATGAACTGTGAAAGTGTCGCTAGTGAGGAACTGCGTTTCGAGCTGTGCAATCATGACTAGATAGTCATGCAGAAACTTGCGTATTGATGCGCAGAGAGCATGGTTCACTGCACCAAACTCTTCCCGGCTCTGGACATCGACAAAAGCTTCTAGGGCAGAATAATATGTTGCCATCTTGAGCATTGACTGTGTCAGGTCCTGCAGACTCGGGTCAAGGCCAGGTAACGTTCTGAAACTCGGTCCAGATAATCTGTCTCTCTCTTCGTTCGGGTTATACCCTTTGGCGAATCTGATATACTGTCCTTCATATCCCATGAATACAAAGAGTAGATCCTCCACTATAGCGGCTTCTTGGAGCTCCAGGCTTAGTTCGCCTAGAGGTTTCGGTTGAGGAGCTTGAGGTACGGTCGACGCTAGAGGAGGTATTGATATTCGTGATGCTAGAGGAGCTGTCGTATGCGGTAGGAGAGTTACTTCGGGGTTCCATGGTGCTTCAGATTGTCAGTTTCGGGGCCTTGAGGCTTATTTGGAGAGTAGAGACAGACCCAGTGGAGTCTCGGCTCTCGACTGCCGAGCTTCAGGAGTGTCGTGTCTAGGTGCTTTGGATGTAGCCCTACTCTCTGAAGGAGCGTTTCTTCGATGTGATCGTTCTGGACTTGTATTTCTTGGGACTGCACGCTCAAGGTGGGCTTCAAAAGTACGCTCCGTCACCCTCCTCGTCTCAAAGCGCCGCTCCTCCTCGTTGCGACTCGATGTCCTCGGGTTCCCTGAAGCGGATCGCTTATGAACATTTGAGAAAGTGGACTGGGTCGTCGAAGGAGGACCCTTGCGAGAATCGGAGCGCTCGCCCTTGAGGTTGGTCGATACGCGGGGCCTTTCGTCGCGATAATCGTTGGCGCTGGTTCGGCCCGATGCTCGTGGTGCGCCGGAAGCCATTGTGTGGCCGGGCTACATCTGAAAAGAGAAACTTTGGGTGAGGTTTCTCTTATGAAGGTTGTGGTAGAGAGTTTGGTTGTGGTTGTAGTTGTAGTCGGCTCAGGTCTAGTAGCTAGAGGTTGTTGATTTGGGGGAGCTGTAAGTGTTTGTGCCCAATCGAATTGCGCGACGAGTTCCGACGCGACGTGGGGTACATACAGCTACCTAAACAATACAGAATATGTAAAAGCAGGCTGTTATGCTTGGAAACTATTTAAAATAAGCAGTCTGTCTTTTTACCAAGCAATCATAATAGCAGTCTAACAGCTATAACCAGAAATACATTTGCTAAGATATAGATCGTAGCTATACCATGCCTAGTAGCCCTCTATTATCGTCATGTCGAATTGTGGCGGTGAAACTGTGGCTAAGCAATTACAGAAGGCTCCAGCTTCAAACGTTAGTGTGCAGCGCGGCTACGTAGGCGGACTGCTTGCCTGCAACTCCACCAGAGCTCACATCCTCACTCCCATCATCCATTGACTTGCTCTCTCCTTCAGCCTTCCCACTCTCGACTACTCAGCAGGCAATTCGACTTCTCGCCCACGAATTCAACTCGCCATATCCACTTGGATACTTCTATTCACGAACTCGGCCTCTTCATATACCAGGAAATCTTCCGCCCTTGTCTAGCCTAGCTATCACCACTACACACAAACCGCCAAGATGTTTATGGCAAGATCTGAATACGGCATGTCCACCTTTTCCCCCTGAAGCTGAATGCTCTCCATACTCAGAACGTCAACTAACATCTGCGCCAGACCGAGGCATCAACACCTTCTCCCCCGAAGGTCGTCTCTTCCAGGTCGAATACTCTCTCGAGGCCATCAAGCTCGGCTCCACGGCCATCGGCGTAGCCACATCCGAGGGTGTTATCCTCGGCGTCGAGAAGCGCGTCACCTCGACCCTCCTCGAGACCTCCTCCGTCGAGAAGATCGTCGAGATCGACCGCCACATCGGCTGCGCCATGTCAGGTCTCCAGGCCGATGCCCGCTCCATGGTCGAGCACGCCCGTGTCGAGAGCCAGTCCCACGCCTTCAACTACAACGAGCCCCTCCGTGTCGAGAGCTGCACCCAGGCCATCTGCGATCTTGCCCTGCGCTTCGGTGAGGGTGCTGATGGTGAGGAGACTATCATGAGTCGTCCCTTTGGTGTGGCTCTGCTCATTGCTGGCTTTGATGAGGATGGTCCTCAACTGTTCCACGCCGAGCCCAGTGGTACCTTTTACCGCTACGATGCCAAGGCTATTGGCTCTGGTTCCGAAGGCGCTCAGGCTGAGCTACAGAACGAATACCACAAGGTACATTTACAAAGCTACAGCCCTTTAGAGGCAGCAAAACTGACATTTTCATAGTCTTTGACGCTCACAGACGCAGAGACCCTTGTTCTAAAGACATTGAAGCAGGTCATGGAGGAGAAGCTTGATGCCAAGAACGTGCAGTTGGCCAGCGTAACCAAGGAGAAGGGCTTCAGAATATACACAGATGAGGAGATGGCCACAGTCGTGGAGCGACTGCCAGCCAACTAAGGATGTTACTCATGAATCAAGAGAAATTACGAATAGACACAAGAGAAACCCACTTTCGGGTTAGTGACGAGCACACAAACCACCACAACCTAGCTCATCAGGCGATGTTTTCACAGAGGTTTTGACGGAAACATCGAGGGCCTCACAAGAAGAGGGCCAGAATTATGTATCATTAATGTAGTAGGGGCACTCGCCAACTGCGGTTCCGCCAGACTTCCAACGTTGCTTCAGGTTGAACGAATTTCGTGAATATTGCTTCCATCCCTTTTTTCCGATTTTCCAGATCGCTAAACGATACCTGAACTTGATCTTCAAGGCACTAATCAAGGAGCAGAGCATACGCTGCATTATAAAAAAGTCCCAGAAACTTGATATCCATATTATATAACAAGCCAGTTCATGCTATACATTGCTTCAATTGTCATCCTTAAGATCAAGAAATTCGAGATCTCGCTCAACACTGAGTAGGCCCAACGCAAGCGAAGCCCGTTCTGCCTTGGGTATTTGGATACGACGAACTTCGCCTGTCTCGACTTCGTGTATGAATCGATCGATTTGTCGTGGGTTCTGCCACCTTGCGACAGGCACTGGTTCGGTCTCCGGGGCACGCTGGTACGGAGGACCACGACCAAGCTGCGCGGCCTTGATCCAAGAGGATTCGCATCCAGTGGCAATACGTTCTGCTGATTGCCATCCTGTCAATCGAGTGATGTCCCGTAAGTGACGTATCACCCAATGCCGCTGTTTCTCATCTTGATACTATGAAGGTGTTAGTGAGCTGCCTTGTCAAGGGTCTGTAGCTGGCAAACATACCTCAATCGCTGCTACGAAAAGGCAGAAGCAACTCTCGATGAACGCAGCACTGACAAGGGTTGTGATCTCCGTTGCCTGTGAAACGTCTTCCGACAAGCCAGCCGCTATTCGGCCCAGTTTGTTCGAATATGGACCTGTCTGTCGTGCTGACATGCCAGCTGCTTGCATCGCCGCAGGAGGCATCGAAGGGTGGCATCGAACAAGATTTATCATGCCCATATAAAAGTTCATCCAGATTCCAGCAACAGAAAACGTCCGATATTGCATCGTCATTCCGAATGGCGAGTCTCGTTTGTCTGAGAACTCTGGCTTGAGCGGTTGAAACTCTGGTCCTAAGCTGCTTTCATATGCTTCGAAGCCCCGCTTGATGGACTCCCACTCCTCAAGGGCAGCCTGGTAACTCGCGTCTGCATCGTGATCCTCTGTAGAGTCACTCTGGGGCGATGTCTCACGGGGTGGTGTAAAACCTCTTGGTACGTGGAACTTTCCATCCGTAGGAACGATACCAGGGAATGATGGTGGTGAACTGCCACCAGCTCCAGGAGGAGGTCCCCTGGCGAGACTTGCTTTTCGTTTTCTTGAAATATCTTTTGAAGAAAAATCTGCAAGCCTGCCAAGTAAAAGCATAAGATGATCATACGATCCATATCTGTGAACCACGCATTAGCAACAACCGGGTGTATATGGTGAATCTCACTTACATAGCTTCAAGTTTCGAAATTGGCGCCCTGGGAGGACACTGAGACCAAGATTCGTAGTTCATGCTGTAACAGTAAGCTTTAAGATCGAATAAAGAATACGTGAAGGGAGCTTACAAGAGTCTGGTACCCGCCAGCATGCTCTGATACACATCCATTTTGCAATACCACCAGAATAAATCTCGGATGTTTTCGTAGTGCTCGATATCTCTATCGGTCACCGTCCGAGATAGGTCTATTGGTTGTTTTACCCCAAGTCCATAGTCCTCTGCCGCTATATGCTGGCCCGAAATTGCCTGCAGCAGGCTGTAATCCAGGTCATTGAGTTCGCTCTGAGAGGGGATACTCAAACCCGGGAAGAAGCTGTCCATTTGATTCTGGTTCTGTGCGTCTTTTTCTGCCTGTTTGTAACGCTTGACTGGCAAATATTTCCTTGACATCTGTCTAAGGGGTATTTCGCTAAACAAGATTCTGGCACCAAGAAGATGATTACACCATTTGGTATGATCCGATGACCAAACCTCAAAATACGACAACAACAGTGTCGCGGCTACTGTTGCAGGTTGTGTTCGTCTGAGGGGTGTGTTGACGTTTCGAGCTATTCGGCGAATTGCCAAGTGATAGTGTTTCATTGCAGCTGTGGCCGGTATGTTTTGCAGCTTTGCAATTTGCAAGGCGCCCAAGGCAAGCATAGAGTGAAGCAACGCGGGGTGGTTCAAAGATATGACGGGGAAGGTGTCTTGGTAATAATTAATAACAGATATCAATGCTGTCATGGAGGATATATGACTTACAGCTCCAAAGATTATTAGCCCCTTTCGGGGTAGGGTCGAAAGAGTTCTCGCCAGTATGATCAAAAGGATGCCTTTCATACAATGACATGCTTGGGCCGGTAACTTGGATAAAGTGCATGAAGATTTGCAACATTGCAGGGTCCTTGAGTTCCGTTATCCGAGCTGTAGCTGTATAATCAGAGAGAATATTGCACTGAGCAAATGTCGAAAAGGTTCGGACTCGTGTGCCGTTTGTGTCCCACGTTCCATTGAACTGCTTCATGACAGGTCCAAGAACTTGCCGAGGATCTTGAACCTCATCGTCTGATTCACCCATCGAAGCATCATCCTCCGGCATTTCATAGTCGTCATAGTCGAAGTCAGGTTCAGGTATTCTGTGGTTCAGCTCCTCCATCCTTTCTCTCTTGATGGCAACAGGTTCCGGCTGGCTACTACCCGCGTAGGGGAGACCATCTTGTCCGTCGAGATGAGGTCCCTCATAGTGTTGTCGAGCGTCAGGGGGCGGCCTAGCATATCCCATCGGAGGCTCAGGAGGCATCATACCGTTCGGTTGGTGATATGGATGAGGCATTGATGGGGCGTTGAAATCGTAGGGATTTGGGGGCATGGTTTCTTGTCCATGAATATAATGCCCGTAGGGTGCCGGTTGGTGTCCATGATAGCCAAAGGAAGGTGGCTTAGGAGCAATTATGGGCAATGGGCCCTGAGAGGTCTTCGCTTGTAAGTGGGGGACAAGGTGCGTAGATCCAGGAGGATAATAAGCAGGTCCAAAAGGGCCTCCTTGTATCGCACCCATAGGGTCCTTGAAGATAACACGTTGGTTGTAGCCCTCGCAATGGCGTTTGGATTTGATACAGTTGTTGCATATCGGCCTTCCTTCGTCACATTTTATTCGACGCTTGCGACAAGCTGTTGTCAAGCTTGCATTAGTATCATTGTTCTCGAGTCACACTTACAAGGGGGAGATCGATCAACTCACTTAAACATCCGGTCTTTGTCCTTTTGCGAATATTGTTCCTTTTGCGATCTGTCTCTTCTCTTGATTCATCCTGCTGGTTGGAGTTTGCAGGGGCCTTTTGGTTCGCAGACGTAGACGACGATCCAGTTTCTTGATCCATGATGAGGGGAGGAAACACAGTACGCAGGTTCCAAATAATTTTCGATCCGCAAAAATCTCTATGTTGAGTGGCAATCTTACATGACGTTGATGAGTGTGAAGGTCTGTGGTTCAAGCTTGAATCTTAAGCCATGTTATCGAACGGCACTAGTTGTATTTTGCAGAGGAACGAACAATGGAATGCCGACTGAAGTGGTCTTGGGACTGTTGGCTAGAAGTTAGAGTCAAATCGATCAGGAAAAGAAAATGGCGAATGGAACGGAATTACAGATTGGGACGAGAGATATAAATGGTGGCAGAAATATGACTTGGGATATCGGGAGTAGAAAACGGGAGGTTGCATACAATGAGATTGACTCAAGGGGGAGAAGAAATGATGTACTGTAGTTCGGTCAAGGATTGCGGAAGAGGAAGCCAGAAGAGAAGGCAGAGCGTAGAACAAGACAGCGGCTCAGGGTTTGGGAGTAGTCTATCAGTTGACTTATGGGGAAGCTTCTGGAGGCAAGTAATGGAGCAACTGAAACATGCTTGTGTAACTCGAGAGTCGGCGGTTTGCCAATTCAACTGGGCCGTCGGAGCGAGAGCTTGTCTGGTCTGGTCTGTTCTTGGTCCCCTTGTGGGTTGAAGTATGGCCGGCGACAGGGACTCACTTCAACTGCGGGCCAGGTCTAGATGACGAACTTGTGCTCAGTGCTTTGTCTTGCCCATCTGCGAGGTGAACAGTGAGCTTAGGATATGCTGTCTGAGTTGACCTGCTGTCTCTTATAATAGATATTGTCTGGTTTATCTCCCTTGGGTTCTTTTTATAGCCAAAGAGACAGACAGATGGATCATCTACCTCTGGCCGTGGGGAAGAAAGAGGGGTTCAGTTGGTTCGATTGTAGTAGATGATGAGTTCCCAAAAGTGTCCAAGTTTGTAGTAAAGTGATTTGGTGAGGAACGAGAAAGGGCCGAGGAAGGGCAGCGCAGCACGGATGCCGGAGATACTGGAGGAGATAAGTCACCAAAGTACCGAGGCCAACAGAGAGTAAAGTAAAGCACAGTAGCTTGTTAGGGTCAAGTTGAATTTAGACGAAAAGAGAGGTCAAAGATAGGATAACTATATGTGGTAACCAGGTCGGACAGTGGTGGAGTGGATGAATGGGGTTTATGGATGCTTGTGGTGGTTCTCGCCGTGTAGTGTAGTGTAGTGGGGGGGCGATAGCGTCTGGGCGTAAATTGGCAGGCTACTAAGGTCTCTCGAGAGGTCTCATAGCACACTTGTTCTTCTTACACAGTGCAGTGATCCCCCAAATGCCGGGCCCAATCAGATAATAGATTAAAATACAAGAACCCGGTTTACGGTGTTGGTAAGCTGCGTTAGGCCTTCTAATTCAAGTGATGAACCTATCACGGAGGAAAAGAATAGCAGGGTACAATGCAGTAGCCGTACAGTGGAGGTGATAAGATCCGTGGAGTGGACTCAGTGGAGAGGAGAGAAAAAGGGTGCCGAGGGCCCCGGTGGAAATGCCGGCAACTTCCTAATTCTATTACCCCAGATCAAAATTAGATCTGAGCATCTGATGAGTCTGAGGCAGAAAAAGCAGAGTCAAAGCAACTCTAGGGTCAGGGTAGGGTAAGGATTAGGGGTGGGTATCACCAGGAGAAGCAAATGCAGTGCAATGGAGAGACACCAAAAATGTATTTTTGCCTGAATATGAACCAACATAAAGTCCTAGGTTCCTTCGGTGACCATCATCATCAACTTGCTTTTTATAGACGAGGATGGATGATCAACAGCAGCACCTTTGAGGCACAGCAAAGGACGAGTCCGCCTTGTTTCTGTGATGATGATATCTCGAGTTGAAAATAGAAAGAAAAAGACACTGTTGCACCACCCGAGAAAAGAACTGACAAAGAAATCTGTAACAAATCATGATATCAGTGGTACACATACTCAAGAGAGCAAAACAAGTCCTTGCAGCAATCACAGGCACAGGCAAAGTGATCAACATCGGCATCTCTCTTCTGAGGTAGTTTGCTTTTTTAGCAAATGAACAGGGTTCATGACTGAACCAAACAGACCAAGTCATCTCAAGAGGCTAACAAGGACACGACCTTCCGGATGAGATGTTCCAGATGCCGACCGATACCAAATACGCTGCTGTACTGTGCCGTACTGTAGCATTGAGAAGGGGTTTCAGAGCCGCGCTTAGGGGGGAACTGCCGCTTCATCATAGCATGCATATCACGTTGGGAACTTGGCTTTGACTTGAGGGACAGGCGCTAAAAGGCCAAGACACCAAAACACATCACCGTTCCCTCTTTTGCTTCCAAGAGACAAGTACTGCCGGTAGAGCAAAAATGTCTTTGAAATTAGCGTGGGAGTGGATTCCAATGTCTAAAACCTGTCAGTTGCAGAACTGAGTTAGTCCAATGCAAATCCCGTCTTGGAACGGAGGGTGATGCAAATAACAGCATCTATCACTCAATATCTCATTAATCACAAGTGACTCCATTGACTGTCGTCAACAGAGAATGGCCACTCCATGATATCAACCAGTTTGCTGTCAAGTAGGATCAAAACGTAAACCATGATATCAGTTGAAACAACGCCAAAAAGACGCTATTGTCAAGAAATCAAAGTTTAGCTCCAAGTCTCAACTTTATTACGCCCGACAATTCCGATCTCAGCTCAACTTCAAGATATTTTCGTATTGACAGCTCACGTCTTATCTACAATTGAGGCCTACGGCACAGGCTGAGTCTATGGTATCTAGCTCAGCCATTTCCCACTCTTATTTTGGCATTCCCAGCCCTAAATGAGGCTCCCATGACGACCTGGCTGCTTCCATCACACCCTCTCACATCCTAGATATCCCCCTTTAGCTCTTGTTATTGAGATGATTTGTAAAAAAAAAAATGAAAAATGAAAAAAGGGGGCAATTTAAACTTGGTACTGCAATCTCATACCTAAAATCCTCCTCCTCCTTCTAGACTAACGTTAACTGTACGGTCGGGCTCTTCTCGGACGGTTCCCTTCTTCCCGTCCGCCGAAGCCTCCGAACGAACAGCTGCCATAACAGAAATCCAACCTTGTTACGATGGATACGATTACCAGCTTCATCTCCATGTTTGTTACACAACGTCAACAGTCTAAGCCTCTCCCTTTTCCCGATATCAACCGATACCAAGCCCGTTGGGCCGTCAGGTGAGTCCAACCGTTGGTCGGTGAACGTTTATGTCCTGTATTTCTCTCTTGTTCAGTCTATACCAGCCTATGGGTTCTCTGTACGATTGTAACCGACACTCATTAGCATCCAATCCTTGTGATCATGGGCCAAATCTCGACGCAAATATCAGCTAACCAAGGAAGGGACCTTGTTGTGACACAAGCAGAGCACGGCGTTGCACACCCTTCGTTTCCCGTCTTGTCTATTGTCTAGAGTCTCTTATGTCTCTCACCAAGGTATGACAATGATCATTGCGCAGTAGAACGCACTGCCTTTGCGTATCCTCAAGGTTCTCTGCATCATCTATAGGTCTGGTCTCATTCCGGCTTTGATCGCCATTGGAAGCTCATCCTTGTTGCCTATCATGCCGTGATCCCCGGCGCTGGACTTTTGTTTCTTCGGTGTTGAACCCGTGGAGGTCCTCGCCTTACATCGATCAAAGTTGTCTACAAACAGCGATAGAGACATGTCTAAGACTCTTGAGTAGAATTCGGCGTTGAGAAGTGTCTCTTTCTCGCTGTTACAGTCGTTGTATAGGCGCTTGTAAATAACGTCGTGACGACAAAGGTCTCTGGAGGCCTACGGTTGAGTATACCTGTGCCTCATACTCTGCGTGTTTGTTCCACGAGTACGAACTTTGGATGTGCACCTGGCCTTACGCAATAGTCCTTGAGGACAATTTGTAGGTGCCATGGTGCCTCAGTCGAGTATTCAGGCAATCGGATCCAGAGACTGCAGCATGCTGTTCGTCTGCAGTATCATCACGACATCAACTTTCAATTGTCATTAGGCGTGAGCGCCTCGGGCACAGCTTGATCTAGGCTTGATGTCACGGCATTGCAGCCTTCTATTCATCGGCATGAAACTGTTGTGCCCAGTGAAATCTTCAAAGTGGACAGCGCCACCTCGATCGATGCGAACCACAACCCCGATGCCTCTTGAGCATTTTTCTCGTGTTCAGATGAAGCATTTAACAAAAGAACCCGGGATGGGCGATGCTCGTTCGTCACAAGTCACCGCAATCGTATATTCATAGGACTGCATGTCCTTGGGCGTAGTCGTAGGTCGGAACTCATGCACTCAAGGAATTGTCGAAATATTCGAGGCCACAGACGTAGGGCGAACCATGATGTTTCGGCATCCCTATGTATGTCTTGAGGCTCTTTTACTGTGTCCTGTGACTAAACAATGCAATGATACCAGCTGCGAGTCAACATCTGCATATAGCCGCTTTCTCGAAGGACACAATATGCAGTTGATGGCATGATTTGTGGGCAACAATAGGCGTAAGGTTGAAAGAGCCAATCCTTTACAGGACTCCGTGGTCTCTTTTCATTATCATAGCATATCTCAGACCAAAACTAAGGCTCCATGGATATTGATGCATCGTAGGGTATTGGTTGGCCCGGGTGTTGTTGGTCAGCGTGAATTATAACCACACCACTCGAATTATTCCCTTTTACAGGCTGACCAACTTCCAGCTAGTAACTCATGGGCTTTCAAACCCCCAAAACTAGATGGGAACTACGGATTATGTTGTCTCATTACACAAGCGAGCATTCCACCATTTTGGGTGGAGGACCTTGAGCATCGGGGATACGGACTGTGAATCCCGCTCGGAAGACACTATGTTTACATGGAGATATGAGACATTTTTGAAGAGATCTGTTTGTGAGTTAATGTCTTGATCCCTGAGAAAGGCAGAACTTGATAGAATTGTTCAAAGAACAGTGGTACTCCTGTCAGCTAAGGATGCTCAGTCAGAAAAATGAAGATTCTGCTACTATCGATAGACGAATGCGTAATTCGAACTACTATTTCTATATCAAAAGCATCTTATAGATAACATAGAGGTCATCTAAAGCTTATATATCGAAATAGAAGTCGTTGTCCTTCAAGCTTGAAAGATCTATTGAGTGAGGTTCGTTGACATCCAAATATGGCAGGTGCACGGGCCATATGCGGATCTGCCCAGACTTTCAGGTACGTACCTCCAGCAAAAATTCAGATCTACGAAATTTATCAAGCGAAACTTCATCAGCATCAAACTCATCAACCACAACCAAACATTTAATCACTTCCAATCAAAAATGTTTGCTGTTCCAGGATGGTCCGTCTCAGCGGACGGCCTCAAATCTGAAGCCCCCGGCAAAAACAATAGTAACAGCGCGCCCGGCAAAAAATCCAATAAGCGCAAGCGCAACAACAACAGCGCTGCTGAGAATGTCACACCTTCAACTGTCGCTGATCTTTGGGAGTCCGTGATTGAGGGAAAGAAGACCGAGCAACCCAAGCCTGAAAAGGCTGCCAAGAGGCAGAAGAAGCAGAAGAAGGCTAAGGATGGTGAGGATGAGAAGCTGAAGGAGGGCGAGGAGACGAAGGAGGATAAGAAGGAGGGTGATGATGATGATGAGCAGCCCAAACCTAAGAAGGAGAAGAAGGACAAAAAGAAGAAGCAAAAACAGAAGTCTACCGAGGACTCAACAGAAACCACCACTTCACCGGCAAAGGACGTCGTCGCAAAGACAGCACCTCAGCCTCCCGCTCCTCCCAAGCTCACTCCCCTACAAGCTTCGATGAGAGAGAAGCTCATCTCAGCTCGATTCCGCCACCTCAACGAGACACTCTACACCCGTCCCTCTGAAGAAGCTTTCAGTCTATTCGATGAGTCCCCCGAGATGTTCGACGAGTACCATGAAGGTTTTCGTCGCCAGGTCAAGGTCTGGCCTGAGAACCCCGTCGACAGCTTCCTCAAAGATATTCGCGCACGCGGCAAGGTTCGCCAACAAGGCAAAGGCAGACCTGGAGCCCCTCCTACTCCTTTGGCTAAGACACCGCTACCTCGTACGCAACAGGAGTGTACTATTGCTGATCTTGGCTGTGGTGATGCTCGTCTCGCGGAGGCTCTTCAGTCAGATGGCAAGAAACTCAAAGTCAACGTCAAAAGCTACGATCTCCAGAGCCCAAGTCCCCTAGTCACCAAGGCTGATATCGCCAATCTGCCTCTTGCTGACGGTTCCGTCAACGTTGCTGTCTTTTGTCTCGCTCTTATGGGCACCAACTGGGTCGATTTCATCGAGGAGGCCTACCGTATTCTCCACTGGAAGGGTGAGCTCTGGGTTGCTGAGATCAAGAGCCGTTTTGGTCCCATCCGAAATAAGAACGCCCCCGTTACCCACAGTGTTGGCAACCGCAAGAAGAACGCAATGGCTGGCAAGAAAGGCAAAAAGGGCGCTGATAACGATGCCGAGCATGATGAGGATCTGGCCGTAGAGGTCGACGGTATGGATGATCGCCGCCGTGAGACAGACGTATCAGCGTTCGTCGAGGTGCTCAGGTCACGCGGTTTTGTTCTTCAGGGAGATAGAGAGGCGATCGATTTGTCCAACAAGATGTTTGTCAAGATGCACTTCATCAAAGGAGCATCGCCCACAAAGGGAAAGCATGTCAAGGAGCAGGAGGCTCCCAAGGGTAAGAGGGGCATCATCCGCAGGATAGATCCCATCGATGAGCAGCCAGAATTTAACGAAGCTTCTGTCTTGAAGCCTTGCGTCTATAAGATCCGGTAAATTTAACCAGCAGAGAGAGGGGGGATGGTTTCATAGATTAGTTACTGCGATGAGCAATACCCGCACCAAAAGCTGATGAGCAATTTGTACTTCATAACTACGTTTAATCCTTGTATCTTAATACTCCAAAGCATCATGCCGCATTATAGCGAAATGGTCATGCCGGTGCCCTAACCATCCCATCCCCATTTGTAGACAATGAAATCTTTCTATCCGCCCGCTAAAACACGGGATAGATGGATACTCATCTATCATTACGATCCTCCATGTTATTGATTTTTATCTTTCCATGTCACCATCCAGTGTGAGGTAGTGTTCACGCCACTAAAAGAAAATCAACCCAGCAGCAACATCCGGATCGCCCTCTGCGGCCTGGAGGGCCTGAATAGCTTGCTCACGAGTGGCACCCATCGAGATAAGGCTCTCGATCGCTTGTGGAGAGATGTTTGTTGTTGTCGGAGCAGACTGTGCAGCAGGAGGCGCTTGGGGTGCGGAGGGGGCGGGAGCTGCAGCTGCAGCAGGGGATGGTGCAGACTGAGCGGCTTGCGGTCTGGCAGGGATCTGCTGTTGGTGCTGGCCAGGAGGCACAACGGCTCCGGTACGTTGTCCGATTGCTGTGCCATCGGGACCAGGCAAAGTTGGTTCCTGTGCAGCCGCCTCCTCTTCCGCCTTGGGGATCTCGGCCTCTCCCAAAAAGGGGATCATTTCACCTTGGATAATGAGCTTGTCTCTAGCAAGATCAATAGTGGCCTGGTGTCGTTTCAACATGTCGAGACCAAGCAAGAGGTCAACTGATCGGCCCTCCATGACAGTAAAGCTGCAGGGGAGGAACAGGTTTCCGATTTTGATCTGGGCAGAATGAACACGGCCGATAATTCTTGCTGTTCCGACACCGTGAGCTACACCAGCAAATCGAGTATCGATCAGTCTCATTATGCCACAAGCCTCAGCACACGAGGGAGACATGATAGTGGCTTGAGCACCGGAGTCAACAAACGCCTTGACTGGATGACCATTGACCTCAACATCGACGTAGAGCATGTGAACTCTTCCAAAAACTAGATTCGAATGGTGTCAATATTGCAGTTCATAGTTGGCATTTCAAGAACTTACCTTCGGGGTTGTGTTCCATAGCATTTTGCAAGTTCTCCATAACTCGCTCCTGTCGGATCATCTCCTCAATCTTTCTCTGGTTCTCAACGTTGAAAGGGTCATCGTTCAGTCTCTCGATCTCCCGTTGTCGTTCCTGGCGCTCGCGTTGCTCTCGATTCTGGCTGTCATGGAAGATTTGTGCAAAACGAGCAGGATTGTCAACTGCGGCAGCCAGTTCTGGGTGTTGTGACTGCAGCTGTTGTCTCAGGGCAGGCTGGCCAAGAATCTGAAGGCGGATGAGCTCAGGGTCTTGCTCGTTTTGGGCCGGTCTCCTAGGCTGGGGGCGTCGAGCTTGTTCGGGTACACCAGTACTTCCTCGCATATCTCTGACGTGTACGGCCAACATCTCTCCATCCACAATCTGCAGCTGCTCCATAGTCTGGGTATCATCCGAAATTAGGCGGCCGTTGTGGTAGATGTGCTGTGAGGTTGGAGGAACAGTTGATTCTGCCTGAATAGACTCGCGAAGGGTCGCGAGTGTCATGTCGGGAAAGATCTCGAGGGTGAGCAGGCTATCCTGCTCCCCAGCCTGGGGGTTGAATATGTTAAGGGTGATGCGCCTGTTGCCAGTTAGCATCCAATAGCCGAAGATGACGTAAATATGTCCTGGGAGTGGACTAACATTGTGGTGTCTGTTGTTGCTCGTCTGATATTTTTCGTGTGTATGTTTGAAATGTTTAAGTTTGGGCCAGAGAGGACGAAAGAATATCGTCGAGGGTTCTCAAGAAAGTGGCTGGTCGTGAGAAGAGAGGAGTAGGCGTGGCCACGAGGGTGGCTAAGAAAAGAAAGCCCAGACAACTAGCTACCTACTAGGTAAACAGAAGACTGTAACAGCTCCTGAGGTAAGGTACCCACTAGGGATCTTCAAAAATAGGAGCCCAAAGTGCCTAAGAAAAGCAAGTTGATGTGGTAAGCAATAAGTCGAAGAAGATTGAAGAAGGTTGAAGTGAAAATTATCGTGAATTTAGTGCGCGAGGTTGGTTGGTGTAAAAAAAAGATCGGAGAGGAAAGAACAGATGAAGATGGAGATAGATGCAGGTGCAGGCTGGTGCAGGCTGGTGCAGGCAGTTGCACATAAAGTTCAAGCAAGCTACTGGCTAATGTTGGAGCTATTGGAGGGGCCGCTGCCGCTGCCGCTTCCGCCGGAGGGGTAGTTATGCTGCTTGATGCTTAATAAAGAGCAACTGTAGCTCCGGACAACCGCAAGAATTATAAGGGATCATTCAGCTTCTCACAATGGTTTCATATGTTGTCACAAGAACAAGGAGTTTTTCTTATGGCTTACCCCAAATGAGGGTAATGGTACACAGGTATACAGTTGCTTTGCGGTTCATCGTACCTGTAACAGTACCTACCAGTCATCGACTTACATCATATTGCACCCCTCCATTCTGCCGTACCATAGCTCGGGCCAAGAAGGCCATCAGCCAACCAAGTTCCATATAATAAGAGCAATCTTGACATGGATATTCAAGTTTCTCTTACGGTTACCTCAAAACCCCCATCTCAATCCTTCTGACCAGATATTTCCTGTTTTCGCAGTCAGCGGGCTTGCATTGTATCCCTCATGTACCGCTAGGCACAACTGCACATACGCACGCTCACAATCAAGGACCACGCAGCTGCTGGAAGCCGACGGAAGCCTATGGATGCTTACTACAGTTCGGTTCGGACATGATTGCGGAGAACCAGGCGCCATTGACGATGACGAATGAGTGCTCTTCATGCAGCCGGCAAAGGGGACAGAGCACTCTATAGGTCATGGAGTCGTGACCAAGGGGACGCAATAAAATATAGCACATCTATCCTAAGTGACAAAAAGACTTAGGTAAGGTTCGTATATATGCAGCAGGCCTTAGACTAACCCTTTTTGACACCTCATTCAAGGTCTGCAGTTTTCTTGCTCCCTGAGAGTGACATATCCTTACAGATGCTACTGTATGTACAGCACTTACCCCCAGGTCCCTTGCCCTCGCAGATCCAGCATTGGTAACCATATCGGGCGAAATGCAACGATTTTATTCCAAAGAAGGCATCATGCATTGGCCCCTTGGTCTACATACATAACTAAACCTCAACCGCTCCTGTGATATTGAAGGCCTCACTGGGGAGAGAACGTGGGATATGCTTTCACTATTTCGTGGCATGCCAGGATAAAGGAACCCGGGATTGCATGCGGCTGCTGCCGTTTCAGGGACCCCCCAACTGCTGATCGTCTTGGTTACAGCAACAGGGAGGTCGTCCCGGGGAGGCACAGAATGATCTCCTGCAGGACTGCCACCTAGAGGCACAGAAAGGCACCCTTGGTTTGAATATGCATGCTATAGGCTTGCTGTTCCGGTGTCCCGTTGTCTGGGCCAAGCAAGCTTTTTCCATTGTTAGGGCTGTTAGTAAGGTTTCATCATGGTTATCGTGAACTGATTGACGTTGAGGTGAAGTTGGGAACTTTATTTAATTATCTAGACCCATGGCAGTCACGGTCTAAGATTTCATACGAGGTACAGTATTCTTAGCCGCCATGTTTCTGTACTCTTGTTACCTGACCGTTGTTAAAATTCCGAATTAACACAATATCAATGATTATCGTCTTAGATAAGTCTGTTAAAAAGCTTAACAACAACCTTGTCCACCATTGACTAATTGTTGGGTGTTGGTCTTGGTACTCAGACTACCCTAGACATCTGATATGGCATCTCCCTACAATCACCACATTGATGAGTTCCTTCTTAATATTTAATGTACTGGTTGCTTGGCCCATTTTCATCTGCAATTTGCCGTGACTTCCTAATCTGTTTGCTCTCCTTTGTTGAGGTCACGCGACTTTGATATGTCATGTGCCAGACCCAAGCTACCACTGGCGATGGAGACGGACGGAACAAGCTCTCCCCGCTCGTGAACCCATCCGGACGAGAGTGGTAAAGTTGGGAAAAGACAGTTTTTGAAGGTCAGTTCGACACTATTTTTACTATTTGTGGCATCGTTAAAAGTTGTACAGCACTCCCACAAGCTCTGGAACCAACTGTCACAACGCCCTGAAGCCATTGTCACCTATACACACCGATTGAAACTGGCCCCATTCCGGCGCCGGCCTCACTGCATCATCCGATCGCTCGGCATTCGTGGGTCCACCAGAAGTTTGAATGGGCAAACAGGATACCTAAACCCGTCGTCCCATGACGTTTCATTCACTGCCAAACGAGTCTGAGTCTCTCTGTGTGATTCAGTAATCAAAAACTCACCCGATTTTGAGCCAAACGAGGTACAAACCTCATCAACGGTTCACACCTGAAGACGCCTGTGCCTCATACCAACGCTCAATGTGCACGGGTGAGCTTTAATTCCTCTCGTCGCATCATAATCATATCATCAAAAGACAACGTCAAATTCGCAATATAATCTCAACACAAGCGCTATCGACGAAACAGAAAGATCTTCTGCGACAGCTCTCACTACTCGAAAAGGCCCACAAATCTTACCTGCAGCTTTGTTCTGACGACCGACTTATACTGAGGTAGTACCTCTGGTAACCATCACCGGCTCAGGACCCCTTCAGGGCTCACCTTTCAACGTGGCAACCGAAACTCAAACCCTCATGGGAAGCATGGAAAAGAAGAAGAACAATGAATTCGCTTCTGCCGCCAGAGATATGATCTTCTCTGGCGGCGTGTTCGAAAACTTGGAGAACGACGATTCTGATGGCGCCATCGACGACGGAGACGCAGATGAGGACATGGTCAATTCAAAAAGGAACTTCTGTCAAATGAGGATCCAGAAGAGGAACTCAGAAGCTGGCCTTCTGAAGAAGGTCATTCCTTTTCACTGGGCTCCTATGCTCTCGCCCCTGACCGAGAACGATATCGACACATGCGTTACTCTTGAAAATGTCGCACTTTCAGAAGCGAGGTATAGATCAACACGTGAAAAGGTAAGTCATAATATATGGGTACCAATTCGTTGTTTGGAGGGCGATGGGACCCCGAGCTCAGGTCAGATTTGCTAACTAGCAAAACAGATCGAATATCGTATTCGTAAATCAGGAGTCTGCTACGGCCTGTTCAATACCGTGAGGCCAAGCGATGTTAAGAAGATCTCTCTCACAACCATGCAACACAGCCGGCCCGTTGAGTCAGGACGATGCGATGGAGCCAAACATGTCATGTTTGCGCACGTCCTTGCTACACTTGGAACCCACCCAGTCGTAACTGATGCCGATATGGCCATGCCCGAGAACTGGAGAGACTCGAAAGCAAGCAAAGGCTCACCTCTAGGCCATCAATCTTCAGGGAGGACAATCTGTCTCCATTCGTTCATCGTGTGCCCAGAGGTCCAGGGAGTTGGCATCGGGAAAACAGTGATGAAGTCATATCTCGAGCTTATGAATGCATCTGGAATGGCTGATCGAGTTGCCATAATTTGCCAACCGGTAAGCAACCATAGTTGACACCTAAAATCTGCGTCAAGCTAACATGTCAAAGTACGCGATCCAATTCTACAAGTGCTTTGGATTCAAAGACCTTGGCCCAAGCACAGAAGCCCTTGCTGGTCAAGGCTGGCATGCCATGGTAAGTAATACCTCTATGACATAAACTGAGAGCCACTGACATATGACTAGGTGCTTGAACTCCGTGGTCCTAAGAGAAAGACCAAGGAGGAGCCTACACGGAGGAACAAGGAAGGGGATTCTCCAACATCCAAGGCGAAGAAATCGCCATCATAGACTTTTACAGGCTTGTTGCCAGCATTTTTTGGCAGTTGATCAATGAGTCTCCTCTCAGGAAGCACCTGTTGCTTCATCTCACTTCGCATTACCAAGATATCACCAGAGTAGCCGCATCATCGACAATAATGAGATAGCTGGTCTATAAAACCCGCATTTGCGTGTTGTGTTTCTTTTTCTTAATTCCCATTTCGTCTATTTTGTGGCCCTTTGATATCATAACCTCATTCGTTCAACCCCATTTTCTTTTCTTCCGTACGGTACTTAGTCGCTAGCCTTGTACTTGAGACGGTACTCCTCAGTTCGCTTGATATCGTCCTCTGAAGCAAAGCTCTTCATCCCAGCAATGATATCATCGAGGGTCAGGATAGCGAAGATAGGAATGCCATACTCCTTTCGCAACTCGCCAATGGCACTAGGGCCAGGCTTGGACTCATCGCCATCGGTAGCAGGGAGCTTCTCCATGCGGTCGAGGGCAACGACAATACCAACAACGATACCACCCTCCTTTCGGATCTTGTCAATAGCCTCTCGCTTGGCAGTTCCAGCAGTGATGACATCGTCAACGATGAGAATCTTCTTTCCCTTCAAAGGCGCACCGACGATGTTACCGCCCTCGCCGTGATCCTTGGCCTCCTTGCGATCGAAAGAGTAAGAAACACGGTCGAGGTTCTCAGGGGCGATCTCGCCGAGCTTGACAGCAATGGAGGAAGCAAGAGGAATGCCCTTGTAAGCGGGACCAAAGATGATGTCGAAGTCAAGGCCGGTCTCTTGCTGAGCCTCAGAGATAGACTTGGCAAAAGCAGTGGCAATAGCGCCGGCGAGACGGGCAGTGTGGAAGAGGCCGGCGTTGAAGAAGTAGGGTGAGATGCGCTTTGACTTGAGCTCGAAGCTGCCAAACTTGAGGATCTCGCCAGCGATGGCGGCCTCCAAGAATTCTTGCTTGTAGGGGGCGAGTTGAGAAGACATGATTATTTATGTGGTTATCTGAATTGGGATGAAGTCAAGATTGGGAGTGAATATTTCTAAAGCAAAGTTTGCGATCCCCTCTTGCAGGTCTCTCAGTGGTGTTGAGCCCGGAGCCGGCCTTGGACCCTTCGGGTGGTTCAATGTATGGCGGCGGGGTTGAGGTGGGGGGAGATGCAGATAAAGAAGTACCATAAAAAAGTTCGGTTAGCACAGAGAATATGGGAACGAGTATATCAACACCGGTCATTTATACTCTACACAATAGAACTACGTGTCAATGAACAATCACTTAAGGAATCAATGACTAGGTATGTAGAAACAGACTATATCCTTTCAAGCCAGTATCAACTTCTCTAGAACTGAGACTGCCAAGTCCATCACACAAAAAAGTGACTTGTTCCTTATCGATAAGAAATCAGACTGACCGCCACGACCCACTAAGAAAAAATATTCGATCCAACTAAATTTTGCCATCTCTGATACCTCTTCTTCGAGCGACGAGCGACACTTTCTCTCCCCGTCCGTCTCTATCCTTTTTGATACCCCCCAAACAAATCCAGCTCCAAAAATACCAGATCGCCCAAGATGAAGACGACCTGGAAGGACATCCCCCCGGTGCCTACTCAGCAGGAGTTTCTGGATATTGTTCTGAGCCGGACCCAGCGCAAGCTGCCAACGCAGATTCGCGCCGGTTTCAAGATCAGCCGTATTCGAGGTTTGTGACATTTGTCTCACCACAACCAGAATCGCAATAGATCACTAACATAGACTCCAACAGCTTTCTACACTCGAAAGGTCAAGTTCACACAAGAGACCTTCTCAGAGAAGTTCGGCGCCATCCTCGAGAGTTTCCCTCGTCTGCAGGACATCCATCCTTTCCACAAGGATCTCCTCAACACCCTCTACGATGCCGACCATTTCAGAATCGCCCTCGGTCAGATGTCCACCGCCAAGCATCTGATTGAGACCATCTCCCGCGATTATGTCCGTCTCCTCAAGTACGGCCAGTCTCTGTTCCAGTGCAAGCAGCTCAAGAGGGCCGCTCTGGGTCGCATGGCCACCCTCATTAAGCGACTCAAGGACCCTCTTATGTACCTCGATCAGGTCCGCCAGCATCTCGGCCGTCTGCCTTCGATCGACCCCAACACTCGAACACTGCTTATCTGCGGTTACCCCAACGTCGGAAAGTCTAGTTTCCTCAAGAGCGTTACTCGTGCCGATGTCGACGTTCAGCCCTATGCTTTCACCACAAAGAGTCTGTTTGTCGGTCACTTCGACTACAAGTATCTCCGCTTCCAGGCCATCGATACCCCCGGTATTTTGGATCACCCTCTTGAGGAGATGAACACCATTGAGATGCAAAGTATCACCGCCATTGCCCATTTGAGATCCGCCATTATGTACTTTATGGATCTTTCAGAGCAGTGCGGATACACAGTTAGCGCCCAGATTGCTCTCTTCAAGAGCATCAAGCCTCTGTTCTCCAACAAGCTTGTCTTCGTTGTTATCAACAAGATTGATGTCACCCGACCTGAGGACCTTGAGCCCGAGGTTCAGGCTGAGCTCCAAAGCATTCTCAAGTCGGGTGAGGTCGAGATGCTCCAATTGTCCTGCAACACTCAGGAGGGTGTTCAAGAGGTCAAGAACGCTGCTTGCGAGCGCTTGATCGCTGAGCGTGTTAACCAGAAGCTCAAGGCTGGTACCAACAACAGCGGAAACATCGGTGGCCGTCTGGCTGATGTTATGTCCCGTATCCACGTTGCTCAGCCCATGGGTGGTCAGACTCTTGAGACTTTCATCCCCGAGGGTGTCAAGGACCGCAAGAAGTATGACAAGACCGACCCCGAGCGCCGAAGACTCGCTCGTGATGAGGAGGAGGAGAACGGTGGTGCTGGTGTCTTCAACGTCGACATGAAGGCCGACTACATGCTCGCCAACCCCGAGTGGAAGTACGACAAGATCCCCGAGATCTACGATGGCAAGAACGTCTACGACTTTATCGATCCCGATATTGAGGCTAAGCTTCAGGCTCTTGAGGAAGAGGAGGAGAAGCTCGAGGCTGAGGGCTTCTACGAGTCTGATGAGGATATTGAGGATGACGAGGAGGCTGAGGTCATGCGCAAGGCCGAGCTGATCCGCGAGAAGCAGCAGCTCATCCGCAACGAGGCCCGCATGAAGAAGCGTCTCAAGAACCAGGCCATCATCCCTCGCAAGCAGATGAAGAAGCCCCTCTCCGAGTTCGAGGATGCCCTCGACCAACTCGGTGTCGACACCACCGATATTGCCGAGCGTGCTCGCTCAAAGTCTCGTCCTCGTGGCCGTTCCACATCTCGCATGGGCACCGAGGACCCCGATGCCATGGATGTCGACGGTGGTCGCAGCAGCACTCCCCGCGAGCGTATGCGCTCTATGAGCCGACCTCGAAGCCGTGCTCCTACTGCCAGCCGCCGCGACGATGGTGTCACAGACGAGGCTACTCGATCCAAGGCCGATCGTATCGCCAGGCTCAACCAGAAGCGCATGAACCGCATGGCCCGACAGGGAGAGGGCGATCGACACACGACCGCTTCCATCACCAAGCACTTGGTAAGTTTTATTCTCATCCATATTTATCTCGGAACCGTAGCTAACACATCACTTTCAGGTCGTCGGAAAGCGTGGTATGGGCAAGACAAACCGCAGATAGAGAGCCAACACCAGGCTTCCCTTTCTTCCACATTTGGTTGTCTTTCTCTCTTTTCCGGCATATTTTCGCGGGCTGTGGGTTTGCCTGGGAGTTTGGGCGCATAGGAAAATGGATTGCGATTCCTTCGCTGCGTACGTACGTGATTGACAAGAAAAAAATAGCTTGCGTGTCGCGTTGTTGCTTGGGATGAAGAAGCTCTGTCCGAGTTCAGCTAGATAGTAGATATCACGGCGCCTCCTTGAGAAGTACTAGAAAAGGGGCTGCCAAACTTTTCTTTCCTTCTCTTTTAACAGATCATGATTTATGAAGCATATAAAAGTTTCAGTCAAATTTCATATTATCCACCCAAAATATTATATTTGTGTATACAGTTCAACAATATTCATTTGAGTTGTCGTGTGAGATGCTATCGAAAGAGGTATAATGAGATTGTGCCCAAGACGCACCATCGGTATCGGCCAATCTTCTGAAAAAGCAAAACAATCCTCCTACCCTGCCGGCTCTGTTACAGTGGTGTGGCCTTGTTACTCTTTTATCCTATTTGCTAGGAAGGTCGCTGAGATTCTTTACTGCTCCTCGGCAACCTGGATACCTTCCCTCAAACCCTCAACCTTGAGCTCCTCGCCGGTGGCGCGGCGGTAGATGTCCTTGACGTCGTCGGTGGTAGTCTCGAAGTGGCTGGTGGCATCGTAGCTCTTGGAGATGAAGATGTTGTCCTTGGTACCATCCTCAAGAGGCTCGTAGATGGGAATAGGGGGACCCTAGAGATTGTTAGCGTGTATCTTAGTATTTCAGCCCAGGTAACGTACCATGAACTGCTCCTCAATCTTGCCAAGGCGGTCGAGACCAGCTTGGAGCTCGACGTGGTGGTTAGCTGATGTCTCAGCAATAGTCGAGACAATAGCGATCCAGTAGCCCTTGGGGCAGACGTTGTGAGCAGAAGAAACGCAAGCAATGTAGATGTCTAAAGACAAATGTCAGCAACTATGTATGATCATCATAATTAGAATAATTACCGTTCTTTCGGCCAACTTGAGACTGGGGAATGATGAGCTGGGCGGAATCGGCGTCGTTGGTACCAGCGAGAGGGTGCTTCAGAATGCAAATAGCTCGGAGGACGTGGCCGATAACCTTGGCCTTGTTGGGGAAGTACGAAGGGTCACCGAGGATCATCTTGGCCTTGGTCTTGAACTTCATCTCCTCAACACCAGTCATGGTCGCCTCGATGCCCACAGCCTTGTCGCCCTCATACTGGATCTCGTCGATGTTGGTGTTGAGCATGTAAGTACCGCCGTAGATGGCAGACAGACGGGCGAAACCCTGGGGAAGCTCGCCAAGACCGTAGAGAGGGTAGATGTAAGGAGACTTTCCGTATCGAGCAACAGAGTTACCGTACAGGCGGATTCGCTGGATGGCCTCGGGAGCCTGGCCGGGGGTGGTGATGTAGTCGTCGGTGAGGTAGAGAGCCATGGCGTGGCCAATGAAGTCCTTTGTGGTGGCCTCGAGGCCGAACTTGTCATAGACATCCTTCATGGTGCACTTGTTGATGTCCAGGCCTAGACAGAGGGTTATGGGTCAGCAAATTGTCTAATTTCGCAAGATTATCTTCTTTGCGCATCTCCTTAGAAAACGTACCTTTGTGTGTCGCGGGGTCCTTGGGGTCGAAAGTGCCAACCCACTCAATGAAGGACTTCATGCGTCGCTTCTCGAAGATACCCATGAGGGGAGATCGCAGAGCCTCGGCGGCATCAGAGGGCACCTTGGCGACGGTAGCCTTGTTGGAGGCACCCTGCTGGACGTAGCTGCCAGCGACTTGCTTGAACTCGAGATATCGTGTGACATCGGTAGAGACGAGAATGTTGGTCAATTCGCCGGAGGACATGAGGAACTTGGGGACAAGGTCGATGTTCCAGTCGTTGAGGCGACCATATTGCTTCCAGGGCTCCTCGCCTTCGCGGAAGTTTCCGTACTTCTTGAAGAGCTGTATTCTGTTGTTAGATATCGGTCTGGCAAGATATAGACGGGGAGGTTTGGATAAGGGTTGCGTACAGTCTCGAGGTTCACGGAAGCTGCCTCGCTGGGAAACAGTTAGCTTTTTGTTTATGGGAAAGTAATTGCATTTAGACGGAGACTTACCCGCCATAGTGATCATTGCGGTCGATGTGGAGGACCTTCTTGCCCTTGACACTCAGAACACTGTTGAAGCACAATCAGCCATCACCGCCTTTACATGTGCTATACCGCCTTGCAGCTTGCGCAGGTCTGTAGCGCCCTTTGCGACACGACGAAGCGGTCAAAATCAATGCAGTTTGTCTTACCCAGAAAGAATACACTCGGTCAATCCTAGAAACAGTGAGCATTCGCTTGGGAATACAATAAAACACCAGCATCAAGCCAAAGCTCTCTGATGCGGGGATCCGCCCTGCGGTGGCAGAAACAGGCGAGGAGGGGAACAAGAACATACCAGTGCCCAGCACGATGACGTCGTATTCAGGAGCAATCTCATCCATGATGGCTATTCTCTGGTGTTGATATTCGATGAACCTTTAGGTAGAATGATAGAGAGATAGGGAGTATGAAGAGAAAGAGGCGGAATAGGATAAAATGGAAGCGAAGCGAGGAGGGCCGAGAAGCTTGAGGGGAGGTGCGGTGCTGTACGGTTGGCGGTTGCTTAGTGGCGGGGTCAGTCCCATTTACCTTTTACCTTACCTTTCCTTAGGGGATCAACTACAACTACAGCCTAGCTTCAGTGTGGGGACCTATTTATGGCTGGACCATTCGGTGAGTGGGAGTCTGAGTGTGAATATGGTTGACGCCTCTAACAACTAACGTCTTACCCAATTCATGCCATTCTAATCTCACATATTCTCGCCTACAATATCAGATTACATTAAGATGAAGACATACAACAATTTTTGCTGCTGATAGATAACCCATCACCCCCTAATTCCCCCTTCCATCGTGGTCCGCTTCATTATCAAATTTAGCTTAGCAGCCAGATCAATATAAGAGCCCCAGCCACGACCCCAGTATCATCAATGGTTTATTACTATTAGTATATTGAAGACAGGGTCTCTCGGTCGTATCTCCTTTCTTTGCCCCAACTGTTGACCTCCATGTTGTTACATCTACGTTTCTAGTTTCTACTCATCTTGGTGGAGCGACCCCTTTCATGAGGTAACCAGAGCTTGACTTATACGATATCCAAGCTCATTACTGTGTTGGGATACGAAGTCAAAGAGTTTAATATGACTACAGCTCACCTACGCGCAAGATTGTCATTACGGCTTGAGTTTGTAATCTACGACGCTTGCTGCAACCAATCTTGATTCGTCATATGTATTCATGTCAACAACTCCTAGAGCTCATATGCTCGCATATACATGTTTGTTTCGTCTACTGTATCTTACATATCCTAGATGTACACGACGAATATGTCAACTTGTCTCTAACCAGGCATCATAAACCACCACCACCTCTCCTATCACTCAAATAGTATATGACGTCGTCTCGCTTGTAACGGTTTTTTATTGCTTCTTCAACTCCTTCTCAATCTTGGCCTCCTGTGCTTCTGTGGCAACAGGATCAATCTGCTTGGCCGCCTCTGACTCTGCCTCTGGTTGTGTCCACTCAGCAATATCAACCTCATCTTCATATGCCGATGGTGTGTAGACTTGGCCTTCCCCGCCCTCGAAGTTGATTTCGGGGTCGCTCATGGCGACACCGACGGCGTCTTGCCATGTGTAATATCGCTCCGTCAAGACGTGCTTGATGGCTCGCTGTGTCCTCAGGACCTTTCTTCAATGTCAGCTTCCCGCATGTTATATAGCTTCGAAATATCTTACCTCCTCATCTCGAGTATCAATCTCTCGCTCACCGAATCCCAGCTTGGATCGAATGAGCTCTTGCCTTGATGTAGATAGCATGTTCCTCTCTCGGCAACACACCCACCACAAAGAGTGTAGATCTTCCCACGACTTCTTTCGCAGCTCCTCAACCGACCATGCACGTCCATGCTCCTCAGTCTCTTTGGGTGTTGCCAATGCCTTTCCTTGTGCTGGGAAGAATCCCCACAGACCATGGTCAGGATCGACCTTGATCCTGGGCTTGAACTGTCGTGGCTTCGGTAGCGGAATGTTTGACATAGACAGAGGCTCGCGAGGTCCCGATCCGTACAGACTACTCACACCTCGCTTGGGGTTGTTGTCTTTTGTCTTTCGCTTGCATTGTGGTGCAGTCGTGGAGAAGTAGGCGACTCGAGATGTGGTGGCGGAGACCTTTGATGATGAGGCCTGGACAAGTCGACCGGCCAATGGCCGTATCGTACTAGGAGCTGCCATTGACATTGTCGTGCCTGTCGTGGGGATTAGATGAGGCTATTCGCTATTCAGCTCGTCCCATACATTCGCAAAATTTGGGATGCCGTAGCTCGCGGAGCCTCGGGTGTCGGCATTACGTTGCGCCGACGTCGACTCGAGATGATCACGTGCTGTGACGGACCACACATAACCTCACCGAGTCTCACCTCAAGCCTCACCGAGCCTTACCAAGAGATGGATCTCAACAGTGGGTTCTCTGGGACAGGCGCTTGCAGCAAGCACGGATGCCCAAGTTTGGTACAATGTACAAGGTGTTTTGGGGTGGGTGATGCGGGGGAATACTCCAGATGCCCCATCTCATAGTCATCTTCTAGAACAAAGCAATTGTTGCCAGTTCCTGACTAGGACCTAGGACGACCACCAAGAGCCACATCAAGGATGCGGGGAGAGATCCATCACCAGGAACGGGCAAGGCATGAAGTTGCTAACATCATCTTGGGCTCCACGTTTGGAGATCACCGCCGGTAGAACATGCGCCATCCATGGTTGCTTTGATGCTACTGCGTCACCAAGAGTTTCAGGTTTCAAGGAAGTATAACAAAAAACAAAGTTATGATACGTAGGAAACACATATGACATATTTCAAACCTTCGCGGACACATAATTACCGCACCATCGGGAAATGAACGACAAACCTTGATGTCAAGAGGAACTCACCAAGTGCAGTGAAACCACCCTATACCACAGACTTCAAAAAGTCAATCTGCCATGGACAAGCCAGCACCAGCTCTTTGCGTTCGCGATGTTACCTTCAGGGTAGGTCTGCACCTGGCATAACCTATGGCACTTGCGCTTGGCTACTGTACGATAGCCTGCAAGCGTCTTGTTTCGGTACTTTACACGTGTGCATGTCTTTCGTGTCCCTCGAGGACACGCACGCATCCGTCCATCATCTCATTTTACGGGACTTTTATTCACGCGTTCGTCAGAATCACAAATGAACGAACAGATTTACGCTATCAGAGCGGCTCCGAATAGCAGTACTGTGCTGTACATACCGTACGCAGACAGGAGGGGGTTGCAGTCAATGTCTCGGCGGCGTGGGGGTTCACACTGCATCCTTGACCATCCTTCGTAATTCATAATGCCTGATTCAGGGATTCAGGGTCATGCTGGACAAGCTAGAAAGCCATGCAAGTCAGAAGGGCAGACAACCTTCGGGGGTGGTGAATGCAACTAACCACGCCAACCAAGGATGCAACTTGTTAGCCGCTCGTCTGTGGAGTGCAAATGGTGATTGACAAGGGAGGATCTGCCGTAATTATCGCGAGACAGCTGCTGTTGTCCGTCTTCACCAGGAACTTTACCCTTTTCGTGCGAGTCGGATAAATGCTGCAATGCCGCGGTATCCTCCGTCCCGCGACATACAACATGCAATTCACAAGATCCCGCACTCTGTCTGTCGTCATATTTTCGTCTCCAGATCAGAACATGAGAGTGAGTTGATCCCTGTACTGGGTACTATGAAGCTTCTCAGCGCGCTGAGCGCAGGACAAGTGCACGATATTCCAGAGGTACCGTGCTTAAGTCACATGAGTATGAGAAGCGTTTCAACATAGCTCAATAGCTCTCGTTCAGACAAACGGATAATGGTAAGCCAAGAATGACTGTCATGCTGTTGCTGGCTCAGCGGTTTGGAACATATCAGAAGCTCAACCAGTCCGTATCACACCTAATTGAGCACTGAGTCGAACCACAAAGATGAACCAACACCAGGCGTCATCATGGTAAGGTTGCAGTTTCTCTCGGATTCAAAACAGTAACAGTTACAAGACCATCACAATGCGAGGTAAGTTTGCCGAATCAACACTCACTCCCTTGCCTCCCTCAGTACAGTAAACGCACAGTACTCGATAATTCCGTCAAATAGCGAATGGTTGGTGATGGCGTCTTGAACTAAAACACACGCTTGCTAGGAGTAGCCAAGTGCTGGTGGAGGGCCTCGTGGTGAACGGGACACCATGGATAAACTAGCCAGCCACGCCTGCCCGGTAAGGTTCCGCACTATCACCACCTAGTGAACAGCGCCGGCGGTGATGGTGGTGGTGATGGTGATGCGAGAAGTGTTGTTGGATGCAGAATGTGAAAGTTTGTGACGTAAAAGACTGTTATGGGTGGTTGTGTGGTTGGGAACCATCTTAACACTGGTTCAATTCCAACCCCTTCAATTGGTCTGCTCGTCACGAGAAAAATGGTTGGGAGCACATTTGTGAATTCCGCACTCGCCCAAAACATTCTGTGTTTTGATGGCTGATCACTAGACTGGTCTAGGGCAGACCTTGATGTGAGGGATATACATTGTGATGATTTCTTTTGCGCTCATCACGATGTCAAGAATTTCGAAGTTCCGAAACTAAATGATTCTGACTCGTGCAGGCGTGTACCTACAGTACTGTATTGTGTATGCACGTCCAGCATTGTAGGAATAGTGTAAACCCTGACCAATCCTGATCAACGGTGATGGGCCGTCCTTGTTGGAAGAGGAAAGCGTTGAGTAGATTGCAGGGAGTCGAATGAGTTACATGCACAACAAGGTTGGCGACTTGCTGTCGACTTGTGGTGTCGAGATGAAGCCATCACGACGTGCATTGCCTTATATTGTGTGTCCAGATCGTTGTGGCTTCTTACGGGTCTTCAAGCTCCTCATGAAGCGGGAAGGGACCCCGTAGAAGAAGCTTGGTGCGTTGAGGCTCAACATCCTCTGTACGGCACCATCAGCGGCAGTTTATGCCTCCACCAGTCCCGCTTCTCCAACGATTGCCGAACATGGCACTGGATTGGTGTGGTGCATTGAAGCTTTGAGTGTGTGTGTGTACGTCTGAGTGTGAGTGTACATGAGATGTGCTTGGCTGGCTTGAATCACACTCAAGGAGATAATATCGGCGATCCCAAACAGCCATTTCAATCAAGTTGCTAGCCCCTGTATTCACTAAGCTGCGCGATTGTTTCGAAAGTGAAGCTCAATCATCAGAGATTGTCTCCATTCCTTCTTCAAATGTCCGAAGCATTGGGAATCCTGGCCGTGCATGTCAGCGACTAAGAAGCTATCGGGTATCCCAATGAAGCAGTTCCGATATCTGAACAGGGATTTTCCATCAAGGTGTGCCTCTTCCGGACTTAAGCTGAGAAAGGCGAGCATTAACTTATCCATTCCCTACCAGATTAAGCCCCCGTTAGCGACCTTTGCTTAGGCCCGTGATGACATCTTAACATTGCTGCCGACGACACCCGCTTTAACCTGATTAATAACCACGGGAATAAATGCACAAACCGTTTTATGATTTGATATTGACTATACCATTTGTCAACCATCAGCTGCAGTGTAGCAGTGCCTCGTCAGCCTGTACACTCTTAACATTTTTCTCAAGAGGAGGCTGAACTGTTATCAATAGTCTGATGTTAGAGCACAGTTAATTCTTGAACACAAAATAAAGTGTTGAGACTCCAGTAATAACGTTAGACCAGGAGTTGAGCAGAGTGGAGTACACGATACTGTTCTCGGACAGCAAAGCCCAGAACGGGGGCATGTGTGATATTTCGAGTCGGTGAAGTTTCGGAAAAAAAAAAAGTGAGAAAGAAAATGGACGTCATCACCAGTCATGACAGCGAGGGATAAGCGTTCTGTGAGACAAGGCCGTGCCCAGTACTGTTTACGAGTCTGGAGTGATAACTGGCCCTGCAACGAGTTTGATATGAATTGCGCAATAATTGCCAATAATTCTTGCACTTTCAACACGACAATGATTTTATGTATCAACGAGATTGATAACAGGAAAGGTGTGTGACCCTTTTGACAACGATCTGGCAGTTGTGTTTTCCACAATGCTCCGGCCTTGACACATGTCTGGCATCCGCGCCCATTCATTGCCTAAAGCGCGACGCCACCGAGGCAAGGGTAGGGTAGCTCTCAACCTCAGGGACATGGGCTCAAGATTCCTCCAAACCTCAACGAGCTAGCGTAACAGCACAGTCGTTCTCTCTTGTTGTTTCCCGGGAATGATGCCTGCTTGTCTCTCGGTGTTCCCGCTCCCTATGGTCTTCTCCAAGGTTCCTTCTTTGTTTCGAATTGGATGGTCATCGTCCGATCACGGAAAGGACTCGGGTTTCTAGGCAGCCAGATTTGGCGGCCGAGTGCCCGACTCCGAGAGGTGAGCCAGAAATGCTAGGTTAACAAAGTCCTCATGACGGACGATATGCTGTCGCATTGTTGCTGTTAAGCTAATAGCTACAACATGCGAGGGTTCTTGATAGGCGAGCGTCAGCGGCTCAAAAGACGATGTTTTCTCCAACTATGGAGTCCGCCTCCTCACGGGAAGGACTCCACCATAACCTTCTGGAGCCAGAATCGAAGCCTTCAACTTCCCACCCTCGTCCTTCAGCAGATGCAATGGCGGGAAGATGAGGGGTTTCCAAGGGACCCTGCTCCACTGAGATCTGCTTTGGTGGGAACACCCGCTATGCTTGCGGGAGCCATTGAACGGTTGGCGTCGACAACAAGATGAGGGACCCTGGAACAACGTCTCGAGACGATGCTGTGTTAGCATTGGGTGCTGGTCAATGTGATTATAGGCGTGCCTGCATTTCAGGGACAGCTGAGTGCGTGACCAAGAAGTTCCTCTGGGCCGATGTCCGGCTTTGATTAAACCCAGGCGACTCTCCGATAGCGTTTCCTTTTTCCACGGACCATTGTCTCCAACGTCCCAAGAGTACCCTGTACTCTCGGCGAATTTTGCTTGCCTTCGTTTCCTTTTGTCCCCACCTTACTTTTTCTATTCTCTTGGCACGCCTCATCAGGACTGCAATAACCGCCAGGTTATCAAAAGTTGATTCTGTCATGCTCAAAACTTTGACTGAGTGATGCATTAGTCAAGTGGTCACCGTGGTATGGACATTGCTCGTTCACTCACACAACTGAGCGGATCGAGCACTTTGTTCGCAGTCTGAGCAATGTCGTGTCAGCCTTGATTCAAGACCCTTGAATCAACAGGCTGGGGCTCGTTTTCGCTTGACTCGTGGATCCTGCATATCATCTTGGAAAACCGGCCTCTTCGAGTCACGAGCCGAATGTTGACCCATTTAGGCATATGGCCTCTAACCAGTTAGCTGGCCTAGGAAATTGTTGTCAAGTGTGTTTCGTAGTATGAGGCGGTATGTCGGAAAGCAGTATTATTAACTGAACAGAGTTGCTCATGCTTGTTGCCAAGACCCGACATGGCCAGCATTATCAAGCTGCACGCGACAGGCATGCCTGTGATGGTCGTATTCTTTGTCACTGGGTTTTATCATGTTCATAACATGACCATGGCAAACCAACCATTGGTTATTGACCGATATGTCATTAAAATGAAAGAAGCAATTCGTCGTCCGCGTAATTGTGAGACAAAGGAAAATCTGGCATTGAGACTTGGACGTATTCAATAAACAGCAGTCTGACTTGTCTCAGCTTTCAAAGGGCGATTTCATCTTGACACTGGTTAGAGCAATATTAGGCAGTCGAGAAAAGCTATTCGTGAACACTAGCTCTGCAGCGTTTGGACTAGCCTCTAAACTTGTTCACAAGATCAGGCAAAAAACGCAGGGAAAATCGTTAAAATGAGAAACGCTGCATGATCTGGTCGAGGAATCCCGGTGCGAACTCGGTGTCCGAGTCGTGTATGAGGTAATGCGGTGAGAGGACTTGAATTTGGTGTGAAGCATCGTGACCTTGGGTGTGCAGCGAGGCCGGCTACGACACCGGGAATCGAAAGACTAGTGTCAGGTATCGTGTACAAGGGACACACAAGCGCGTTATGCTTGCCAGGTAGCAAAACAATGCGTACCTGTTACGACATCACCCAACCTCCAGCATTCCCTGCAGACGCCCCCACCCCTGCTAGCAACTTACCTTTTCAACCTATCGTGTGTACAGTATCGACCGTGCGAATCTGTGAACACAGGGCCATTTGTGAAGTTGTTCGACGCGTCGTGCATCATCCTGGATGTGATTTTTTGATAGCAGTGTTTCCCTGTCTGTGTTCAGGATCGCAAGATGAGAAGGATCGTTGCAAGTGCCGTCAGAACCCTGGACATTCAAAACGACGTAAACTTGGTGTAAGAGAGATGTCAGTTCAGTGTCGCTGATGATGATGATGATATGGCAACTCAGTGGTTGTTACTAGACCCTTTATCATATGAGGCAAACTTTCAAGACAGTCTCTTAGTAGCTGATTGATTACAGCGATGTCGGACGGTGAGGCCGGTAGACTTGCGCCAACGGTGCCGGGCAATGCTTCAGTTACCTCGGCGCTGAGAGGTCTCTCGATAGCTGGGTGTTTCTCTTACAGGAGGAAGGTACCTGATGAGCGAGGGTTTGCATGTCGTAGACGCCTCGTCTGGCGCACTTCGTTCAAAAGTCCCGAATCAGTTTGGCGCTTTTATTCATACGATACTGCACAGTAGATCGCACTCAGGAAGTGTGTCTAGTAGAGACGGCACGCAAAGTTTTTTCTTTCCTTTTCTTTCCCTTCTTGACGGCTGGCAAGCTGAATGATGCCCTCTTGGACTTAATTGGAGTCTTGCACTTCTAATATCATTGCTGATGATTTAAACTGACACTGTTCGTTCCTATAGTCTATTCCAAGAACCTGTGGATACGACGAGGGTACCTTGCTTAGACTTGACATGGCAGCAAGTCGGTAAGTGACGAGTAAGTATCCGTCCGTAGATTTCACCGCAAACTGCCAGCGAAATGAATTACCCTAGCTAAGGTATTGAGCGAGCCCCGAATCTGGCGGCTTAGAGCGGCAATGGCATGGCACCTGCGCTAACATCCAAGTTGGACAGGCCAGAAATATCGCCGTAGACCCGATTTGATTCAGATTGAAGAAGGATGAGGGGCGTGTGAAGAGTAAAACGAAAAAAATTCGAACCATCCAAGCTAGAAAAGGAACAAATTTGACACTGCAAACAGTTGGCGGCCAGTATTGAAGCGTCTTCCTTGCTTGGCGCCGGCCTCGGTAACAGGTACTTCCGTCTTTACTCCGGTTACTGCTCCTGCTCTATCTTTTTCCGCCTGTAACTGGCAGGCACGTTACCGCAGCCGCGCTCTCACTGCCCTGATCTCAGTGTTCCCAGGCGAGAGCAAGTAGGAGGTACCTCGGGGTTTTCAGTATCTTCCTGCCTCCCGTAGGTCGTTGTTCCCTCGTTTTTCATCTTTCCTCGTTCTCTCGTTCTCCCGAAAAATTTTCCCTCACACAACTCACATACCATCATCGACTCTTCTTTGGACTCTCTAGATTTCGTGCATCTTCAAATACATTGCCAAAAACAATCACCTCAATTGTCGTGATATCTTGAAGTCGATTTGCGCGTCTGGCGCCTGGCCCCATCAAACACGACCGCGACCCGCGACCCTCTGTGGCCTATTTTCGCCCTTTCCTCCAGATCCCAGCCGCCAGCTATTCAGATTGTGGTTCCTTTGCTTCGTTGTGGGCCCACTTCCCTTGACAACATTATCCACTTCCCACATCTCTTGCTGGTTCTTTACTTGCAACTGGGTTGGGAATTTGCGACCACGCGAGTACCGGCTTTATCTTACAATACATACTGTGCGTGCCGGCCAAGGCATTTTTACTAACGGTTCCGCGACTGGCAACTTTTCCTCCCTTCACTTCAGCTGCTCCTGTTGCTTTCCTTCGCCTTCGACCGCTCCTCGTGATTGCGTACTAAGCAAGACCGAAAAATTTACTTTAGTGCTGCTTCTGCATCGCTTTTTAATCCACACCCGCACCAACCCACTTCTTTTTTCTCTCCTTCACTCGCCTCTTCTTTTCACACCCACCCACTCTGAACCCACTCAACGTTACCCACCTTTTCAAAAACTGCCCTGACAGCTCGACCGTCTAGAGAGGAGACCGCGAGAAGAAAAAAAAATAATACTTAAAAAGGTTCGGGACCCAGTTCTCCACTCTGTGCACCCTCTCCAAACCACTACCTTCAAAGAGGGACCTGCCACGAGCCTCATCCTCCACCATCCGGGAACATCTTCTGCGGAGCTCTACAAGGCATTGCATTTGATATTGCTTTGCTTTCTCACGTTTTGCAAACCTCCTAGACCCCTCCTCTTTCTTCCTTTCTCCGCAAATCCTCGACTTGGACTTGTCATCCACCAAGGTCCATTGTACCCCGGGCAACTTTTTTTTTTTGCGTCGCGGTATTCTCAACACCACGACGATTGTCACGAGCTTCGCGTCTACCAAGAGTAGCATGGACGGTCCTCACTACCCCTCCAATGGTATAAACACGACTTCTTCTGGTCAGACTTATCCTTCACCAACCGCGATTTCTCCCAACCAACTTCAAACCGGCTCTCCTCTCCCTCAGACTCTGCCACCGCTGCAGCCTCCAACCTCGGCCATGCAGAACATGTACGGAAGCCACCCTCATACGCCGCGAACCCCAGGCACCCCGAACACGCCTGGGTCGGCCTCCAACATGCCTAGCTACCAGCAGCAGACATCGCAGCCCGCGAACCGTGCTGGTATTTACTCAATGGCCCAGAACCAATACCCTCCTCCCCAGGCCTATGGCACCTCTGCCATGATGCCCCAGGCGACCACTGCCGCGTCTCACCCACAGCCTATCGCGCCTGCTCCTGCTGGTGGTCGCGGTCCTCCTGTGTTGCGTCCTATGCCTCCTGGAGGCATCATGTCTCAACCTGGTGTTTCGTCGCCTTATGGTCCTGGTTCTCTTATGCAGCCCACTGCGGTGATGCCAGAGGGCGAACCTCCCACTCACGTTGTTGGCTCTCAGGGACGACGCGGAATCCTGCCCAGTGCTCCTGGACGGCCTGCTGCCCCAGCCGCTGGTACTGGCGCCAAGAACACCGTGATTCCTGTCAAGGACGCAGATGGCAAATTCCCTTGCCCTCACTGCACAAAGACTTACCTCCATGCCAAGCATCTTAAGCGCCACCTTCTGCGACGTGAGTAGAACAGCTTGTTGACACTGACAGATTTTACTGACATTCTTTTTCAGACACCGGTGATCGCCCTTACATGTGTGTTCTTTGCCGCGATACCTTCTCTCGAAGTGATATCCTGAAGCGTCATTTCCAAAAGTGCTCTATCCGCCGTGGCAACCCCACTGGAGCTAGTCACTTGTCGCACCCTCAGGCTCACGTTAAGAAGAACCAGCAGCAGGCTCAGAAGGCCGCCGGCCTCGCCCACGAGGGTGATCTCAACCACCTTAATGGCTTGAGCAACCTGCCCGCAGACAACATGGTCCACCCATTTGGCATGGTCCCAGTCTCGGATGGCATGAACAACATGGCCCAGGATCAGAGCCAACTCTCTCGATCCAGCTCGCTTGGTCGTCTCGACAACGGTAACAACGCTGACAGACGGAACATGAACGGTCAGGTCATGGGTGCTTCGCAGCCCTATGGCGCTGACCCCAACATGAACCAGCAGCAGATGACTGGCTACAGCATGCCTCCCGCTCAGAACGGACTGCCTATGTACGGCGGCTCCAACACAAACCCTCCATCTGGCCTTGATTGGTCTCAGATGTTCCAGGCTGGTGCGCATCAAACCTACGTCAACACATCTTTCAATCCTAATCTTGGACAGACTCAGAGCGGAATCAAACCCGAACCTAATGCCGGGCCCGGAACGACAGGCGCCAGCGCCAGCGACACCCTTTTGTCGAATATGGGAATGCAATCTCACCAAACCTCATACAATCTTCTTTCTGATCAGATCCTTAATTTCTTCTATCCTCCTAATCAAGCCATCGATCCCTCTAGCGCGGGAATGAATCTCTACTTCTCGCCTGACAACGTCAAGGACTTCTTGGACAAGTACACTCATTTCCACATCCACATGCCTTTCATTCATGTCGCGACGTTTAAGGTCATGGAGGCGTATACTGGCTTACTTGCAGGCATGTGTTGCATCGGCGCCTGTTACTCAGACAATGTCACCCCGTCCAATGTTCGCGAAATGATGGATTTTCTTGTCGTCGCACTTCAACGCGACTGCAAGATGATGTCTAATGCTGAACCTTTGACAGGGCAACCGAGTCACGCATCTCGGGCTGATATTGAAGAGCTTCAGGCTGTCTTGCTAACATGTATATTATTACTCTGGAATGGAAACCCTCAACAGAGAGAGCGGGCTCGACAGATCTACCCTTCTCTTGCAGCCAACGCCAGGCGACTGAATCTCTTCCAATCATCACGGGACCCTGCTTCTCTGTCACCCCTTCACCAAATCGATTTTGACCGGAACACTTTTGATTTGCAGCAATGGAACTGGGATACTTGGGTTGATCAAGAGCGTCGGAATCGTCTAATGTTTGGCGTCTTTTTAATGGACGTTGCCATGGGACTTTACTTCAACTCTCAACCCTTGTTCGATGTTATGGAATTTCATTTACCTTTGCCTTGCGACGACACAGCTTGGGATGCGGACAATGCCGGGGACTGTGGTTCTGCGCTTGGCCTCAACGGCGATGTTGCCGCTCGCGATAAGAATCCTTATGGCACTCAGCGACCAAAGCAGCCTGAGATGGACTGGGCTCTCAAAGCTCTTCTGCACCCCTCGTATCAGATCCAACCTGGAAGCACCAACCTTTATGGAAAGTTTGTTCTCATCCATGGCATATTAGCTCTGATTCGGCGGGCCCAGATTGACGGCAATGCGGCTCAGCTGTCCAAATTTGGAACGCCTCCTCCCAATGATTGGATGACTCCAGCCGGCCACAATAGTGGACGGGGTACTCCTGTGGAGGGGGCGGCTGCCAACGTTGACCCACAAAGTCTGCAGGCACTTGTTATCGCTCTGAGCAAGTTCAAGAGTAATTGGGATGCGGATATGGCCAATCAGTTCCCGCCAACATTGCCGGGATCTAGCAATCCTCGGCGGCACGGGTTCTCGCGAGATGGCATCCATTTCTATTGGCTTTCCAATTACCTGCTCAAGCACACGCAAGCTGCGGACTTACGGTTGTCGCCGGATGCCCGGTTTGTCCAAATTATCCAATTATTGAAGTCGGTGAAGTCGTGGGTGATGTCAGATGGCGCGAGCAGAGGAGAAGAATTAGGATCTGTTGGAGAGATTGATGATCAGTATGGAGCAATGGATCTCACATTAGAGATGGCAAAACTATTCAAACCACTTCCGCAAGTGGTGGAAGACGCTGGCACTGCGTCTGTCAAGACGGAGCTTGACTAAGGGACGGCAGTATGAATTTCTTACAGAACCAAAAAAAGTACTATAGGGGCGGGGGCTGCATCTGGAGGCGTTGCGCTGCATTCTGCTTTGTTTTCTTCATTTTCTTTGTTTCCTGGGTCACTGGGTTTCACCAATGTGATGGTCATCTCAAGGTAGACCGGATTGGCCTCACACATCCATGGTTGGCACCGTTGTGCAATGCATTTGTCGAGAATAGACGGGAAGAGGAGTTGTAACTGCATATTAGACTTTGATCAAGATAGAAAGGGAGGTCTAACCGGTTGACGGTCAACCGGTAGACCATCATGACTTGATGGCTTGGAGCAGGTTAATGATGTTTGCCTATATTTCTACTTGTGCCCCTTTGTGAAGTATTATGTGTTTGTGTCTGATGTAATGAGATCATTCCTTGACGCTGCTGCGCTTTGTTCGCTATCCTTGGCGAAACATTGCCCTTGAGAGACGTGTAGATATGGTTTATATATGTATTGCAAGCCTCTCAGTTCAGTTACCGTCTTTCTCGTTCTTGTCAACAGTGGTAATTTTTGGTGTGTATTTGTCCAGCTCAGCCTTGTCCTCTTCGGTTGGAGTCAAGCCAAGAGACTTCTCAAGTGGATCAGTCAACATGAGTCCTCCAGCGCCCCAAGCGATGATTGCGATACCGACGCCGAGACGTGTCTTGGGTGAGAGGTTCTTGTAAGCCCTGGTTGTGTATGTAAGTCCTAGTGCTAGGGGCTACGGTTGAGGATGAGGCAACTTACTTGAGCATGATGGTTGATGTGATGATGGGAGAATGTGAACGAGAATAGTCAGTCACATGACCTGCCTTTCCTTTGACAATGACTGGCATCAGCACATAAGCTCAACAGTTTCCTGGAGGAAGACTCATACTTGAGGCGTAAGAGAAGCGACGAGGCGTATCGCAGTGAATCGGCGGATGAGAACTGGGATGAAAACAGGCTGAGGTTGATGTCTGATGCGGGAAAGAATGTGATAGGTTTACCGTGGGGCGTGGCAGTAGCTCAGCTCCGAGGGTCAAGACAGGACAAGATTGAAGCTGAACTCTCTTCATATTCTTGACATGAACATACACAAACAGAGCCGAAATTTGACTACTTGTGAGAGAGCGATAGAGCAAGCTGTTGATATTCCATAAGACTACACAAAACAACACCAAAGCTTACTCGGAGGAAACAAATCATGGAGCATTACGAGCCAGTAGCACCGTCATCGTCATCGCAGCCCCGCCTTACACATCTCCCATACGAGCTCATCAACAACATCGCCGTCTTTCTACCGAGACAAGATTTCAAAAAGTTCAGACTTTCATGTCAAAGGATTGCAGAATGCACAAAAGTACTCCTTGCGTTACCCAATTTCGATGGCGTCCCGTGGAGGAAAGATGGTGAACGACTTCACCATCTTTCCCTTGTACCGAGCTGCGCAAGGCGCATTCACTCGGTCAAGTTCAACATGGCTCGCTTGGTTGAGGAAGAGGTCGAATACGCTACATCGCGAATCATCAACGCAGATGAACTGCATAGAGCCTGGGGCCCTTATCTTGAGACTCAAGATGTGTTCCTCGACCCAATCGAGCTGCCTCTTGACTTGGTAGTTCCAGCTATCATGAGGCTACCCAATCTTGATTCCGTGTGCTTGACTTGGACGCAGTGTCCTTGGCAAGATTATAGGGCAATTGACGATGTCTTTAGCTCGGAAGAATCTATGGAATTAGCTGGTGACGAGATCTTAGAGTCACAGCAAGCCATCTTGGATGCCCTACTCAGACGCAACGTACCACTCAAGAGTCTAACAATCGAGCCCATAATGCATCCGGACCTGAAGTTACCATCCACGCTGGACCCAAGAGTATCAACAGTCTTTGGGTCGGTGACCCAGCTACACTTGCATCTGAAATACGACGTCATGTCCTTCAGGCCAGACCGCCTCGATTACTTCATCTCTTTGATGCCCAGCATCCGAGACCTAAAAGTCTACAACACTCCTGTCGAGTTCGAAGCCAGCGATGTTGACTTCTACATCACTAAAAGGCTTCGTCACCTTGAGAAGATCGACCTAAGCTGTTTACACATCAGCTTTGTGCACTTTGTCCGTCTAATTATCGAACACGGTTCAACACTAAAGGAAGTTGACCTGCAGAGTATATATGGATGGTGCGATCCTTTCAGTTCAATTGACATCGATTGGGATTTCATCTTTAAGCTTATGAGGGAGAAACTCGAGGTGTTGGAGACGGTTCGAATCAATGGCAGGTTTAGTGACAACGTGGGCTGGTATCAGATCTTCTTTCGTAACGATGTGCCTACTGTGGACACGATTGTTAGGATTATGGGAGAGAAGAGCGGAAGGCTTGAGAAGTATATACTGGAGGGAGGGGAGTATCCGCAACCTTTGTGGAGGATCTAAGGGGTAACGTAACGTCCATGATCAAGGGTATTACTGGGTATGGGACAATGTTGAGGGGTTAATGAATTATGATGTTAAGGAACTTTTCTTTGGAGTTATATGATAATGAGGCGAGAAGTATCTGCACAAAGATATGATATGGAGCGAACACTGGGCCACTGCCCTTTTAAGGGAGATATTGGGAAGCATATTATTACTAGCTTTGTCTACAGCAATTGTTAACAGTGTGTGGTTTCTTCTTTCCTTTTAAATCTCAAGTGACACAGCAGCAGCTTCTGAGCAGTAGATGTGAGTTGTGTTGACATCGAAGTTCTGGAGTAGGAAAATCGGGTTGTCCAGTTCACATAAGATGTAGTTGAACATGTCAGCATATGGCACAGAACCTATAAAGACAAAATGTCAAACGTAATATAAGGATTGGGAATATTTATATATGACTCAAGAGTGTGAAGACTCAAGTTTCTCAGAGACGCCATCTTCAGGAGTCAACAGAGGCCTGCCTGTCATGAGGAGTTATGAACTGATAGTGTAATATAACCCAAAGGTATATCAACAAGAACAGCCCAATTTAAATCAAGTTGGGTTTGAACCTATTCATAGAAGAGCTTTATGGTTTCAGAAAAAGTGAACTTGTTACATCGTTCATGTTCACAATCGTGTTCCTCACATCTTTCTCAAGGATCAACTCTATCAACTCTCCGAAGTCTTGAAGCCATGGTTAACATCCCGAGAAAATAACCTAGATACCTACATTCTGCGAGATATGGCTCCGAGACAAACACCAAGCCTTGAGAACATGTGAGATACGCCATCAAACGTTTCTGTCACATAATTCCTCCGAACTCCTAATGACATACCATGACGGAGGTATTGGAACACGACAATAGCCGTCAGAGGAAACACTTATCCTTTGTGTACTTCAGAGTCTTTTGTGGCAGTTGATTCAATCAGAGTGAGCATGGTATGTCAGCCATAGTATGACGGGTCTTAGACATTGTATGTTTCCCAGACAGCTTTTAGAATATGAATGGCACGGCAAAGGCCTAATGTATGTCATGCAATTTACTTTCTTTCCTTTTGCATACTTTCTAATGATATCTGTACAGAGGAAGCACACTATGGAAGCAATAGATAGGGGTTTGATACGATGATGCTCGAGAAATCAAGACCAGTATCACGATGGCCGCTCAAACCTTCACGATGGCATTAAATAAAAGTTTATTCCGTGCTAAGACCAGAGGAATGTGTATAGCACGTCATTCGACTGTAAGAAAATTCTGGTGAAGAGAAATCGCAACACTCTTCAAGACATGAATCAACGGCTGCAGCAATCCCCGAGACATCAAGAGAAGAGCTGAGGGACAAGTAGAAGCCGTTTCCGCGCCTCTTGACCAAATACTGTTGAAGGCTTGGCTGAACTTGAAGTCAAGTGGCAACTGAAGGGAGAGCACAAGACCCTGGAGCCGGAGGGGATGAGATGAATGAATGATTATAATTGCTTTTTGGTAGATTTTGTCTCAAACTTGCAAACTTGTCTCAAAGCATCCGATCTAATGTCGGCCGCGCACCCGCGGTTTTGACGCATCGAGTTTCGCTGGGCACTAAAGCATGTCACTTCCATTTCTCATCACGATAATATGAGCTGATGGTTAATGCTCTCTGCAACTAGAAACGGTCGTGACTATCTGTGCGTGCAGCAGCAGCTAATATCGGCCGCAGTCGTAAGCCGGTGACAAAAGCCATTCTCGGTACTGCAAGCCTTGTTTCAGAACCATTCCCCTTTGAGGCGGCACGAGGGTTCCTGGAATGACAGGGCGAGGACTAGAATTCTAGGGAGAGAGAGAGCGAGAGTTGGAAAGGTAATGCAAATGCGAGGCGGGTTACACGTGGTTTGTGATGCTTGCATGGAGCATCGACTATGAGACCATCATGAAGCTTGGGACAGCTCTTGTCCATTCCAAGAAGACCACACTAAGTGAATGCAACTGTTGAAGGAGCACTATGGCCCAAAAGACAGAAGCGAACTGTCAACTCTGACTGGCTGCTGGCCTATATCAGACTAATCAAGTAATAAACCACTTATTATTATGCACGAGATAAATGAGGACGCTACTAGCAAGCCCCATCCCCCAGAGAACGACGACCGATGAGCAGCAGGGGAAAAAAAAGAAAGAAATTATAATGCATGTCTAGCATAACTAGAACATGCAGCAGTGCATCCTTTCAATATGACCAAGGAAATTAATATGTGGCGTTGTAAGGATACCAGAGAAACATACCGTTTTACTGTAACTTCGTCTCGAGTTTCCAGGGACTTGTGTGTCACCCCTTGAAACACATGTCAAATGGAGCTTTGATTTATTAAAGGAAAAAAAGACTCATTGAACCTAATCAAGGGGGATCCCAGCGTCAAACGCGGAAACTAAATGTTTTCTGTGTTAATCTGATCTGGAGCAATCCCTGCAATTATCAAAACCCTTGACCCGCAGTTTAATCTATCAAGAGACGTTCCCTTTGTTTCGAGCAAATTGCTAACTATAGTGTTTCCTTTGACAAGTGTCTTGGGTTGTTAAATTAATATTCTCTCCCGCCCTGAGGAGGGCTGCGAATCTCGTGCTGGAATGCAAACGAAGATTCAAGGATATGCCAGCTTAAACGCCTTAGTCTTGTGCCGGAAGATTTGTTCCCGTTTGCGCGTCATGGCTTGCGTATGCCAGACATGATCGAGTGCAGGTACAGTGAGAGACATAATCTTATCTGTAACTGTTTACAGAAGTCTAATATTAAGAAGGTTAAGGTACAGTGGGAAACGGATGGGATAGAGTGACATCCCGGCGGCGGAAGACCGTTAGATTTGAAAAAGTCCCTAGGTAGTCTAGCTCTAGCCTTGCTCGACCCGCTTTTGCCATGCGCCGCTGTAGCTCTACTTTTTGCTTGTAGCGTTTTGGTGTGGTTGATCATGATCGAAGACTATCTCATCTTGACTCGCTAGACCTCGACAGTCTGGGGAGAGAGAACTAACAGGAAGAAATTTCACTGAAGATCATTAGTCTTTAATTGAGTTTTGGACACGTTAACGGTGCAAGAGTGCCTATTAGCTGTTGGAGCTTCTGCACATTCCTGAGTCAGGTCCAGTGCAGTACTGTATTAGTGCTAGACGTTTAGAGTTTTTCTTTTTCTCTTGGTGTTTCCTTTTTATTGTATCCAATTCTGATACGACTGTGTTTTGCATATAATGACAAACAATAGTTATTGGCTGGCTGAGTGACTATTCTTCTGATATGTGACGGTTGCAAGTCCACTAACCGTGGTTTCGGCCATAGATTGTGAGCAGAAGCAATGTCCCCAGCCGAGGACAATGATGAGACACTATTGGAATGCAGCTATTGCTCCCGATCGTGAATTTCGACTATCATATCTCAGGATTGGTCTGCTCGTGGGCAGGGGTCGCGTGGCGTATAGGCAGAGACAAGACAAGATGAGGCAGACCAAAAGAAAAAGGGCAAAGAATAGACGCAGCCAGAGGACGATGTATGGGAATTCGTCTGCTCCCGCACAAAGCGCATCTTGTTGGTGGAATCCATATACAACGAGGGAGTATAGATGCGGAATGTAAAGAATTATGTATCTGCGTGTGTGTATGCATTTGCGACAAAACGAAAACCCTTGAAGTCGTCTCTCTCCCTCTCCCTCACTTCGTTCTTGATGTTGAGGGTTCTGTGATTTCTTCTCATCTTACAAAGTTCAACCTCTTCTTGCTTTGCTCCAACGATCTCGATCTCTTCATTGGGCATTTTTCTTTGTCTTTGCTTGTGCTGTGTTTTTCGTGATTTGATTTGCTGTCTTTTGCAAAGCGTGTTCGGACCTATACACAACCTGTCTGATATAGGTGTAAGGGAGGACGAAAGAGAGAGAGAGAGAGAGAGAGAGAGAGAGAGAGAGAGAGAGAGAGAGAGAGAGGACAGGCAGTAACCGGGCGATGAGAGGAACCGTTTGGAGCACAAGTAGAACGTTGCTCAAACAGGTACGATATTTCTCGTCTCTTTTTATTTCTCTTTCCTTGGTTTATTCGTTCATTCATATCACGATATGGCCTTCAACTCTTGACTTTGATGGCTCGAGTCAAGTGACGATCAACATCAAGAGATGCAATGATACTGCTGCATCGCGGACCCATAGCGATATTGAGCATCCAATCCGAGATCTGCTGTACCTTTTCGGGACCAGCTGAATAGTCTGGGATGGTGCTTGTTCCAGCATCGTAACACACGCATACCCACACTTCTCGCTCACGCGGATGCACTGCACTCAATACACCAAGCACACACAGGCACACACACCAATATGCAAGCATGTGCAGGGTCACCCGCAACATGAGCTTGACCGGGACTGGACTGGGATTGAGCTGACGAGATGTTTGCTGCCGCAGTAACTAAACTGTGCTGTACCTTGCCGAGTACCAGCCTCAACAAGCGAAACATATCAGAATTCCTCATGACGGCGGCGCGAAAGAAGAAGCTGAGTATCAGCGGCATTGCAGGAAGCAGCAAGGAGAACATGAAGGGCAATGGAAGAAGTAATGGAGCAGGAGGAGGATGGAGTTTTGGACGATGGGGCTCTACAAAGACAGCTTCAACAAACACCACGAGCAACTCGGTCAGTACCTTTCTTTACTTTCTTTTCCTGTACTTGTCTCGTCTTTTCTCTCTTGTTTTCCCTTCCATCCAAAATCCAAATCCATTCACATGTGCTTCACACCCACTCGCTTCACTTCCCGACCCCCCTCATCGACGCCTTGCCTTACTCAGGGCAGCCCAGCGTAAAAGTGAATGGCAGTAGCTGCACCTTGTCAAAGTTGGGTTTAGGGGCGTTACCCAAGTCCCTTAAAGTTTTAAGAGGTTCCGTCATCAGACCAGAGGCCCCCCATGAGCCTTGAGCGGGAGCAGCAAAAAAAAAAAGATGATCAGTAGAAGAGTGGGAAGAAGTGAGTTTGAGAAAAGTCAATTGCAGCGATGGAAAAGCAATCGATAAAATTCAATCCAATGAGGAAACGGTATATCATGACACAGCACATCAATTACAAACCCCAACAGCCATTCTATTCTCTTCAACTGTCCCCGTCTCCTCACACTGGCGAGCCATATCCTGGAATCCTTCTGTCACCCTCAATTTTGTCCCCCCTTCTTGATCGAGTCTCATCTTGACCCGGGGGGGCTTGTTCAAAGGCGGATCATCCCATCCCCATCGCATCCCTCTCGCCCATTCTTCATTCTTCCCTTTCCATTTCCTTGCTTGCCCCTGCACGGATCCTTGCAAAAACGCAAAAAACCGAGCAGGCCGCAGCTAAAAGGTAGCCTAGCCCAGCCCGGTCCTGTCCCAATGGCTCAGTGGCCCACGTCACCCACCCGCCCGCGCTGACAGGTCACCTCACTCTAATGGCCCTGTAAGCTTTACAGCTAACATCGTGATTCCAGGGGACCACTTGTTCCATTTCAGTGCCTTCTGGTTCTGCAGCTGGAGGCGCTACCGCTGCAAACGCTAGCAATAGTTTAGCCAGTCCAAGTCCAAGTCCAAGTCAATGCCCGAGCACCAGCACAAGCACAAGCACCCACCAGGACCAGGACCAGCGCGGACACTACTTTCGATCCCACCTTCATCAACACGCCAGTTCGGCTTCGGCGCCGTCTCATTCTCATTCTCACTCCCATTCTCACGCTTCAGTTGTCGCCGCTTACAATTCGGCTCTCAAGCGACCGCTCGTCACTGTTCATCCTCTCTCCGACTCCAATTCCGTCTCCTCCGTCTCCTCCTCCTCGACTACAGCATCATCTACACCAACATCATCTTACGGCTCACCCACTACCACCGCAACAACAACCCCGGTCTCGTCTCCTGCCTCCTCTGTCGCATCTCCAACTCCAAGATCGACATCAACATTCGCTACTCCCGTATCTGTACCGACCAAACCCCCAAAGAGATCCGTCCACTTCCGCTCCGGCACGACAATCATCTCTAGCAGTAACAATAACAGCACCGCGCCTTGTATTCCCGTCCTCTCTGTCGTGCCCCCGCCTGGCCAAGACGGCGGCGACGGAGAGGCAAGACGGCCCGCCATGCAGCGAGTTTCTTCCTTTCTCCCCTCGTGGGACAAGAGGTCGTCGGGAGGTTCTAGAGCTGGCCTCTTTGGCTGGTCCTCCAACCGTTCCAGCACCTCGATATCCGTCGCAAACTCCAATGCATTGTCCAGGTTAAATACTGCGGCCGCTAATGCCAGTGGCCGAGTACAACGGGAGGCTTTCTGGCCTGCGACTCTGGATCTCGAATGCGAAAAGGCTGCCCGCATCCTCAAGTCATTCTGCAGTATGCTTGTCTCACTTTTCTTGTCAGCCTCATTTTGCTAACATGATTACACAGCGGATGGATATCTCGTGCCATTGGAAGAAGAAGAAGACGCACAATCGACGACAAGCGAACCACGCTCCCCAAAACGAGTCACCAAGAAAATCCCTAAGCGCATCATCCAGAATGCAGCCGGAATCGCCATCTTTACGTGCATGCGCAGCGGTCTGTACATGACAGGCTCCGGCGGCTCCGGTATTCTCATAGCACGAAAGTCAGACGGTACCTGGTCACCCCCATCAGGAATCATGTTACATACGCCCACCCTCAGCTTTATTATTGGCGTCGATGTTTACGATTGCGTTCTCGTTATTAACAACCTTGCCGCCCTCGAATCAATCACAAAGCCTCGTGTCACCCTAGGCGAAGACGTCGGACTAACTAGTGGCCCCCTGGTATCGCTTGACTCAGATGAGTCGCACATAAAATGGAAGGACCTAGGAAATACCGTTTTGACATACCTGAAAGCACGGGGTCAAAACCAGGTCGTCAACTTGAATGGGTGTATCCTGGCCGAGCGAGGGAACGAGAATGAGCGATTCTATGCCAACCAAGTAACACAGATGGACATTCTGGCTGGTAACGTCTCTCGCCAAGTAGAGGAGGTTGGGCCGCTCTCAGAGGTTATCAAGATGGCAGAAGGTAGGACAGACTACGATGCCTCTGTGATAAGCAAAATCGCTGCGGAATGTGCGCCAGGAGACGCCATGATCGCGACACCCAAATCTTCAACACCCGCCTCGCCTCGAACTGCCTTTGGAATTCCCAATGTCGATGATCCCGATCCCTTTGGTGTGTTGGCCCTCGAGATGGCTGGTTTGGAAATCCGAGAGGCAGGATCAAGACTGCGACCTACCAGCAGCCAATTTGACTTCAACCCCGCGCCTACAAGCCCAGCATTCTCAAAGTTCAACAGGCAAAGTATAGATACCTTTGTCTCGAGGAGTAATCGAAACAGTTACATGTCCTCAAGAACGGTGAAGAGTCAAATGACGGATGCTGGAACACAGACCGATGTTGGCACAACACCCGAGACAACGCCCAGCCCAGGTCAAAGCGAAGATGGTTTTGACAGGTCTACCCGCACGCAAATTCCCGAGGTCACGGAAGAAGAGGAGGAAGTTGATTACACAAAGGTCGACCTGACTCCTATAAGACATTTGAGCGGAGCCCATACTCCTCTCAGTGCGACCAGCCACGGCAGCACAGCAGCTGTGGAACAAGACACCCTCAAAGTCGAGCCCAGGGATGACACTGACAAGGCCTCGAGCAACTATGACAGCGACAAGGACGACAAGAGCAGCCGAAAGACCGACAATGAGGGTGACTCTGAAAGCGAGGTGGAGGAAGATGAGGAGGAGGAACCCGTGGTGTTCGAGGTGGCTGCTGTCCAGCCGGCAAGAACCCAGGCTGTTGCATCCCGTATGATTCACGCCAAGGGTAATATGGTTACCATCGGCAAGAGAATTCCTCCCCCACTGCCCATGAGGAGCCCTGCTAGGACCTCGCGATCCAGTAAGAGCGAGATCGGCGATGTTTCAAACCTCCGAAGCCCTCTGCGAAAGGAGGCTTTCAGCGAGGAAGATCTTGCATCTGAGGATGAGCAGACCAAGTCTGACTCGTCACCTTATCTCAAGCCCCAGGAGTTCAAGGTTGAGAAGGTCAGGGTTGAGGCCAAGAAGGCTGACGAGCCCAAGCCTGAGGAGCCTAAGATTGATGAGCCTAGGGTCGAAGCGCCCAAGACTGTCGAGAACAAGGCCCAAGATGACACGTTTTCCGAATCTGAGGTCGAGTTCTTCCCAGCCGAAGAGGCGAAGACGGACATTGCCAAGACCGAGGAGCCTCAAGCAAAGCAGCCTAATACTGAGCCCACCAAGATTGAGGAGCCAGAGGAGGAGGATGCAACTGAATCCAAGGTTGAGACCAAGGATGCCCAGACATCACCTACACTTCCCCAGACTGAGCGGCCCGAAAGCCCCGTGACACCCGAGAAGAAGCACACATCATCTATCTACACTGGAGTTACCGATGACCGATGGAGTGTCGATGGATCAACACTTACAACACCTACATCTGACCGACCTTTCTCAGTCATTGACGACGTGACTGAAGATGTGACACCACGGAAACCATCAAAAGAGGCCGAATCAACGAAAGAGGCTGAGCCAACAGAGCTGAACGAAAAGCATGAAGACTTGAAGAAGATTACACCGAATGAGACAACCCCCAGCACGATCACGGTTGTATAATTGAGGACGACGATGGTTCTACATCAGTAGATGGGATATGGCGCACGACCTGCACTTTTCATGGGTAATCACTGGGGCGGCTTTTTTGAGAGAAGTTTCTTTTTTGCGCATTCTTGTCAATACTTTGGTGAAAATGTACGTTATGATGGGTTCTTTGTGTGTTCAGGGGTCGATTTGTGACCCTTGATGGCGTTTGTTGGTTTGGTCATAACCACTTTGTCAGTTCTCTCGAGCAGCGCATAGCTTATACCAGCTCGAGAAGCAAACTGATGGGAAGAGGAATGGGTATTGGTCGATGTACTGGATGTGTCATGGGATGGGAAGGATGAGACGAGATGAGACGAGACGAGACGAGTAAGACTTGAACATATGGATAAAAAGGAAAGGATCCTTGAAGAAAGCAAGTGATCCGTGTACCTGGAGTTAGTTGTGGTTTCTTCGAGGCCTGGCCTGGCATAGTCTAGAGGTCAGACTATGATAAAGTATTATTCCTAATGCCATTGAATAGATACAGTATGAACTGGCTTTATTGTTCCCTATGATTGGTTGTGAATGAATAAATGAATGAATTGATGAATGAATGAATATAGTGTCTGAGGTGAATAGTCTATATTTCTTTGGCTGGCACTGCACTGCACTGGCAGCATTGACGGTGGCAGCAACAATAGCTCAATTGCTTGCTCACACTGCTTCCAAGTATTTAAGAGTACATCAGAGATATAAATTTACAACTCATCAAGTTTGAGTATCATTTTGGCCTCTTGATACTATTTAGAGCACGTTCTGAGCAAGTTTTGAGTCTGTCATGATGGTCTATAGAACACCAACCAAGCAACGAGACAAGAGTGGTCACGTGCACCACAGCGCTCAAGATGCTGCGACACCAGCCACACCCACGCCTGTCGCGTCCTCATCCCGGTACCAGCTCCGGGCGCGCAAACCTCGAGAAGCCTCGCCAACACCAACGCGACGAAACAACGGCTCAGTAACGCCATCACCACATAAATACCACAACCACTATAACTACCAGTACAACAGCCTCGATCTCAGTGCAAGCGCGAGGAAGCGAAATCGCACAATGTCAAGCACGGCTGGCAAATGGCGCGAGGAGCAGGTCCTCATCATCTGCCCTGGCAGCAGAACCACTATGGCTCAGCTGGGTTGCAGTGAATTGACTCCTCCTGCCCGGCGCATGCCTACCAGGATGTTTAAGGATGGCGATCAGTGGGCGCCTTATCACAAGACGAAGCGCACGACTATTGTGAATGGCGTTGAGGAAGAGGAATGGTTGGAGGATGTTGACGAGGACGAGGGAGCCGTGTATCCCATTGAAGGTATATACAGCCATTGAAAGGCGTGCTAAAGAAAACCAAGGGACTCAATGCTAATTGCGCATCTTTGTAGCTGGCCGCATCGTCAACATGAGTGCACTCCTCGCTTTTCTCGATCATGTCCACGGCTTGCTTACAACTACATACCACAACACTCCCATCATGCTCATGGCTTCACCACAATGGACACGACCCGACTGCGAGACAATTGCCCGATACGTCTTTGAGAATACGAGAACACCTGCGCTATGCATAATCCACAGCGGAATCGCTACGCAGTATGGTCTGAAGTGGCCCAATATGACTGTGGTGGATATTGGCTACCAAAAGGTCGACGTTACAGCAATTCACGATGGACGAGTTGTAAACCATATGGATGTCAGCGCATCTGATGCCGATGGTGAAATTAGCGGAGGTGAAGTTTTCACAAAGAGCTTGCTCAAGTTGCTAGAAAACAAGGGTTTCAACCATGATATGGCGGAGCAGCTCAAGAAGAGCAACATTTGCGAAGTCCTCCCCTACGTTGCTACCGAGGAGGAATTGATGCAACTTCCCACGGAGAACACTGCAGGCGCAACAGGTGGTCAACCAGCTTCTGCCGTTGCAGAGGCTGCTACGAAAGCCCCTGAAGCGCCGAAACCCACAGACAATGGAGATGCTGATGAGAGCAATGGCAACCCAGAGGATGATGGAGTTCTAGACGTCGCGGCCATCGTTACTAGCGGGCAGACAAAGGAATTCCTCGCCAAGAAGGAGAAGGAGAAAGAAAAGGGCAAGGGAGGCCGAAAGAAGGGCGAAAAGGACGCCGAGGGCGCCGCTAAGGCTGCACGTCTACCGAACTCCAAGAGGACTCACAACACCTTCTTCTACGAGGAAATCATCCAGGAAGAGGTTCCCCCACCATCCAAGGAGAAGGAAACAGTAGAGACCGCTGCGGCCACTACCAATGGTAACGGCACAACAGAAGCTCCCAAGCCTGAGGGCGAGACCAACGGAGCTCAACCTCAAGGCGACAACACCGCTGCGCCTGCGACAGAGACAGAGACAGAGACACCTGCGACGGAAGCGCCTAAGCCAGAACAAACTCAAGAGCCAGCGCAGTCGATAGAACCCAAGCCTGATGCTGAGCCAAAGCCTGACGCTCAACCCACCACCGAGACCCCTGAGAAGCGACCAAAGCGCATTCGTCGAGATGTCGAAGTTGGTCTTGAGCGCTTCACTTTCGCTCAACGTCGTGAGATCGATCGCATTGTCAACGCCATCTATCGCACTGTCCAGGGCATCGATGACATGTACATGCGACCTCCATGCTGGGACAACCTTGTCTTCGTTGGCAACGGTGCTCGTCTCCGCGGTCTTCGCGAGAACATTCTCCAGACCCTCAACGCCCGTCATCTCGTCTCCCCATCCACCGCCACAATGTTCACCTCAGAGCTGCCCTCTAACATGGCCACGCCCACTGGAACCGGCGCTCAAACCCCCACTGGCTCCTTCACAGGCGCACCTCACCAGCTTTCCTCAAGCGGCGTGAATCCCCTCCTCCAAGCCGCTACCACGGCTGCAGCTGCTGGCACCGCTAACAACATGGTCGGCACGCCGCAGCCAGCTTCTGAGGCTGGAGGACCCACGACTCATCACTTCCACAGCCAGACTCCCACGAGCATCAAGACGGCTACTCTGCCGAACTACTTGAGCGAGTGGACAAAGAATGGCTTCGAGGAGTCTATGTTCCTTGGTGCTCAGGTCGCTGCTCGTATTGCGTTTTGCCTACACTCCAACATGGATGCCCAGACCATTGAGGCCCAAAGGCTTATGAGTTTGAGCAGAGTTGATTATAAGTAAGTTCCCTGCCATCCGTAACCTCTCTAAGCTTTTTACTAACGTGTCAAAGCGAACTTGGTCCCAAGGGTATTCGAACACATTCTATGCTAGGCTAGAATCGCACAACGAGCTGATAATTTTATGTCATTATACGGGTTTCTCGTTCACGTGGTCTCAGCACAGACTTTCAAATCGTGGACTTGAAAGAGGAGTTTTTAAAGGGGCCAGCGAAATGGTAAAAGGAAGACGCAAAATGAGTCAAGACTTGAAAATGAGTGGAGGGGAGCGGGTATAGCAGGGCATAGCAGAAATGAGATAATACCATAGATTCGAACATGCCTTGTATGATTATACACAATCAGTCACTCAATTAAAAGCTTTCCATGAATCGAACTTGCTACAGTTGAGTACACCAGGCATGGATATATTCAACTGTGGCTAAAACATCACATTAATATTTCATTGTTTGCGACGGTTCCAATTAAAGCATCAACACAACCCCCATATAATCGTCAGCATTTGTCGTCAACTATTCCTCCTTTTCCTATCACCACAAGTCATAACCACTGCATAATTCCACAGTACTTGCTTTGACTCCAAAAATGTAAGACGATCCAAGGTCAATAAGAAATATCAAGGGCATACGCCACTAACCAGCAGCGTTTCGAAGGGCTGCTTCCTCGGCAGCTTTGTGCCAGTCGGTTCGGAGTAGGTAGATGTACTCAATCGATGCGACGCTGTCATACAGTTAGAAACATTGCTTCCAGTACGAGGACAATTCAACTTACGACATAGTTCCAACTGTGACACCGAGCCATAGACCGCTCAGCTTCCAATCAAGGCCAAAGGCCAGGGCGAGCGAGCACGGAAGAGAGAGGGCGTAGTATGCGATAATGTTGGCAGGGCCGCCAATCGACTGTTTTCCAATACCTCGGAGCAGTCCATGAGCACCTGCTGCAAGACCATCAAAGACTTGCATAACCGACACGATCGGCATGACTGCTGCAACAAGATCAATAACATCGTCGTCCTTGGTGAACAACAGCGGTAGCTGATAGCGCATGGTTGTGTAAATAGTCAGGTTGAACATTCCAATGATACAAGCAGCAACAAAAGCCTGGACCTCATTAGTCGGACAATATCAATATTGGTTTAACCATAAACTTACCACGACACCAGTCATCTTGGCAGGTTCAACAAGGCCAGCACCAATCAAGTTGGCAATACGAGTTGAGGCAGCAATCGACATAGGGAATGGAATCTCGTATGAAAGTGTTGTGATGGTTGTCACCACACTCTGAGCAGCAAGATACTCGGGCCCAAATCGACTGGAGAGGAGCGTGAGGATCTCGAATGCCAGCCACTCTGCCTCGACCATGATCATACCCGGCAGAGCAAGTCGAATCATGATCCACCAGTTGCTGAGAGCCCGTCGACTAAAACCACCCCAGCATTGTCGTCCATCCACGAAGCGGACATACAAGAAGAGGAATATGGGGAGAAGGTTGTTACTGATGGCCACAGCTGTAGGAGCTCCAATGAAACCCCATTGCAACTTCCAAACCAAGAGCCAGCTGAGGAAGACGTTGAAGGGTGCAACAATCAGGAGAACATAAGTCGTAGCGCGGAAGAGACCTTGAGCTTGAGTAAATCGCTTACCACCCTCGAACAGGATGAATCCTGGAATGCTGAAGATCATGACCCTGAGATACATACCAGCAAGCTTTGCCGATTCGGGTTCTGGGACAATGGCTCTAATGATACCTTCGGAAAACCACCACAGAACAGCGACAGGGAAACCGAGCACGAACAAGAAACAAGTCATTCGCTGAAACTGAAGCCCAACAAGGTGCTTATGGCCAGATCCATATGCTTGCGCGCATAGAGTGTCAAGAGATGTAGCAAGGCCCTGAAAAGGCGCCAAACAAGTAATAGCGGCGGTCATATTGGCCACTGATCAAGTTAGTCTCGGATTGCAGTTATTTCGCGAATATCCAGCCTCAGACTTACATGAAACAGCACCAAGTTCGAGCTTGCCAATACGCCCAACAGCAAAGATACTGGTGACATTAATGGAGTATTGCAACAAAAAGGTGACGATGAGTGGTGCGGAATAGGTCATGATGGTCTTGGCCTCTCGCTGCCAAGTGGTCTTGATTCGATGCTCAGCAACAGCGTGCTCCCACGTATCGTTGAGGTGTTCGGGTAAAACACCGTCATCACGGGAACCCAAGAGAGGATCTGTTTCGCTGGGAGGCTGCACAGTTACAGCAGGCGTCTCCTCGTCATCCCGCGCAATCTTTGTACTAAAAAGACGACGATAGATGCGAGTAAAAAGCCCATGCTCCTGTCGATATCCGTGCTTGGGGGGAAGAACATGGTTGTCTCGCAGTAAGCTACGCTCAGCATTACGAGACTGTTTCCTCTCTAGAGCTGTCAGGCCTGGCTCATCATACGTCTGAGGGTTCATAATTGGTCGCGAGCCTCCAAAAGCAACACCGCTGGGTCGCCTATACATGATGGGGTCGCCCTGAAGGTCCGACACAGAGACATCGTCGTCAATCGCATTGTCTTCGAACTCGTCATCCGAACATGCCGCAAGATCTGCAGCCAGAGCAGCCTCAGCTAGAGGCGAGCCCACACGCCATGAAGATGATAGCGCAGGATGTGCGCCAGCACCACGAGGAGTGCCATAGGGCGAGACTCCAGCTCCCCGTCCTATTGGATCCATGTCAACTCACAGTCGCCTCAGCTGGAATCTTTTCTTCAGGCAGATAAAAATTCAGACGACAATTCTGCAAGGATCACACGAAAGAGACTTCTTCAAAGTGCAACAAGGGACGCCACTGAGTCAAATGGTGGAGTAGGAAAAAGTTGAGTGATACAAGGTAGTCAAAGTGAGTTCAATTGTGCTGTCAACCCAATGCATTGAGATCAATGCGCAGATCGCAATCGTGAAGAGAGAGAAAGAGAGAGGAACAGAGAGGAACAAAACTAGATAAGAATATGAGGAGGCTGTATAGATATGTCGTTGTAGTCAAATCACTAGGCCCGATTGAAAAGAGGCAATAAAGCCGATTTTGCTGTTAGTCTGACTTTGCCATTCGAGCTAGCGTTAACTCAGACCCGCCTTGCCACAGCAAAAGGGCGCCATTGAATTGCCGTAAAGGCGGCTGACCCTGACTTGGTGGAGTCTTACCACTTCTGGTCAAAGACACGCATCTTTCGATTCGCAATGTCGTGATAGGCGCATTGTATCTCAGCCTCTCTTTGACATGATGCGGGGGTGGATCGTCAAGAAGGGTTGTGGTTCGTGATGCCCAGATCTGGGATCATGGTTAACGGCGTATCCCGAGCTTGCATGGGTGAGGCTTTGAGTTATAGTTCGTCCCGTTGCAGATATCTCGTCTAAGTCGATTGGCCCAAATCCTCGGCCAAGCCTATCGGCAGCCTTATCATGACTCCGATATCATGAACTCCATCATTAAATCCAAGTCTGACCCGCCCAGTCAGGCTCTGTATGTGACATTGACGCAACCCATGGTATCTCCTCGCTTGCGTAACGTTGTAGTGGAGTGTTGTACGGCATTCGCAACCCAACTGTCGATTTGCATCCATCCTTTTTGCCTGTACTTGGTGTATTTTCCGGCATGTCGGTCTTGAAAGTGCCTACCATGATTGAGTCTTGTTCTATCAATTCTGGCCATACCAAGACACCAATCTCCCATGATGCAATACGCATTTCGCCTGTTGGTCTGGCTGCTTCGCCCCAAGCTTGTTTTGAAATATTAGCTGACGTCAAAAGACCCCAGTCTATAGACGATTTGTTTGACCGAATGTACGTCTTGATATGCGGTGCTGCCCTTTTGCGGCCACTATCTCGCAAAGGGGTGTCTTCGGGAAGTTCTGTGAACCATTAGGCAAAAAGTCCAAGGACTGCGTAGAGGTTAGACTCACTAGCACCACGGGGTGAGTCATTGGCCCAATGATGGAAAATTGGGCGAAGGTACTCCAATTGTTTTGCCTGCTGTGATGACTGGATCTTGGTATGTATGGAACCCCCTGACGCATATCCGTCTAAGGATTGCCGGATCTCATCAGCTGTAGGAAAGACAACCTTAAACCTGGGCCGGCCAAGGCCTGGGTTTTTAGAACGAGTCAAAGGCTCAAAAAGAGTCTTTTGTAGCCAATCATCCTTTGCACCCAGAGTAGCAATAGAAGAAACTTGTACAACAATATCTGAGTCACCGTGATCTTGGCATGGTACATGTTGCAGACACCTTTTCAGAGCCGCCCAGCCCCAGGAAGTTTCCGACATATCCCGGGCGTCGTGCTTTCCCGGTACACTCGCAACTAGTGCAGCTTTGATACTTGAGAAGTCATAATGTGTAAGCTTATCGGTTAGTGGTTTGCAGATGATCTTACGCCTGTCATAGGCCTTCAAGTAGTTGAGAAGATCGATTTTGAAGCGTTGTCCGCTTCCAACAGAATGATCTTCTGGTGACGCTTGAAAGTTCTGTGCACCTGATAGTTTAGGGAGTAAAGGTGATTTCCAGACGCCGTTGGACATGTTGGTCCAGTCCTTGGGGATCATGTTAGCAGTGTGGATGATGACTTGAGCAGTGTCATCATGTCTGAACAGAATCATCATTTTGGAATGGTGTGTCCCGAACATTTCTGACATGGGTGCGATATGGGTTTTGATGTTTTCAAATTCAGAAGCTGCGTTCTATAAAAGAGTTAGTAAGTGAAGGCATACCAATCTAACTTTTCAATAGAATCTTCAGTTTCAAGGCCTGACCACATTCTACTTACCTCCAACGCTATCCTATTCGCATCTTCACGCTTCCAGAAGCCGTGCACTAGGTGCACCTTGACGAGGTGGCGTGTGTCGGGGTCAAAGGAGTTCATGAGAAACGGGATATCGTGTAGGAAATTGAACTCCCAACACTCTGAAATGAGAGGATCGCCGAGGAGGTCCTTAAGAGTCACGGCATCTTGGTTGTCACCCTCTGGGAGATCACGGATCCAAGTCAATTGCCACGGGGACTTCACAACAGTTGATTTTCTGTCCCTCTTTTTAGGGGGGCTTATAGAACGCTGCAGTGACTCTGGTGTTTGGGCATCAGGCTCCTCCATTCGCTGGCGTTTGACCGGACGATTCATTGTGGTAGTTTGGTGGTAGGGTCTTGCTGAAGGAAGCTGTGGATGCTGGCTGGCTGGAAGAAGACCCTGACATATGGGCGTGAGATTGATTTGCGGGTAGTTTCTTGATACAATACCCCAGCAAGGGCTAGTTGAGAAGCTCGAGATCAGTCGAGAGGGTGTTTGCGAAGCAATCGTCATGTATGTACGAGGTCGGGAAATAAGTTGTTCTGTGTATCTCGGAGAAATTCCTTGAAAGTGAAACAGATGTCAATGTCCTGCTCAAAGTTTTTTGATACTGAAGATTGAGTTGTGAAGAGAAGAAGTTGAGATTCAATTTGATTGTCCTGATGGAGGTAGTTAGTGTCTGACCCGTCTAGGCTGCTTCCTTCCTTGTCGTTGATCAGAGTGAGCGGGACATCTTATGCTCTAGGCAATCGGCACCAATCACTCACTGCAAAGGTTGGAGAGATAGAGAATGGGGTACCTATATATTGTTCTGATTGAGAATTGTGTAGCTCTGTTTATGTCCTGTCAAATGCTACCATTGGTGAATTTATACGGCAATAACTATCATAGACATGTTCTCCATCACCTGTAACAAAAAACACCCCAATCCAAACAAAGGCAAGTGTCCCAATTTAGAGTGGAGTGACTGAGCAAGGGCCTCCCTCTAGGTATCCCTGTGGCGTGGCGTCGAATTCCCATACGGAACGTGTTCTCGAATCGAATGCGCCTCCTGAATAGCAACTCTTTTGTCCTCCTTTATTATCCTCTTCCTATCTTGTCTATTCTCATTTTTTGCCCCTCATCAGCATCATCTCCTTTCGCGCCTGGTGAGCGTGATCGTGTGATTGATTTTCTGGTCGTTTCCTTCTTGTTCTTTTCCGTATCTCACACCTTCAGCTCCTCAGCCTCACCCTATATGATCGCCAGTCGC